ATTACTAATTCTTTTTGCCTCAACCAATTAATTTATGCATTTTTTTGTGAACTTTGAGCCATGTGACTCATCATTTAGAAAGGAAAGATATAAACTGATAAGACCAATTTTTCCCCCTTTTTTACGAGAGATCTGGTGAGACAATTCTTCTCGAGATTGATAGGAACCAAAAAAAGAACTTTTTGACCTAAAACCTTGGCATTGATCCGGCTTTACCTGGAAAAACGGCCCTAGAAATAACCCCACCATCACATCGAAGTACTATTACATACTAAAATTAGTAAGTAATAGTACTTCGGGATCAATCACAATGTTTTATGAGATTCAGTGTTTATTAGAAGACCCTTAAAAGTGTACAGGGTAACCGCGAATTAAAGCGACTCACTTCTGAGGGTCTAGCTCAGCGAGAACTCAATGAATTCTTTTGAGGATGATTTTAGAGTATGTCTCCTGTAGCCAAGCTCATTTTTTAACTGATTGGTGCTTCTAGAATCTTTATATGACCTTAAAAAGTTGAGGGTCGCGGTACATCTAGGAAAAAACCCAATTTAAGGTTTTTCTCGCTGAGCTAGACCCTCAGAAGTGAATGACCATAACTGGCCGTCATCCTATGTTTCAAAAAATTGGTTTTAAAGATAGAGAAGCAATAGGAAAGTACTAAATGTTTTATGTTTCCATTGATTCATAGATTCACACGATTCTATGCGACTTTATCTCATATTTCATTACTTTCATTACCGTCATTACTGCCATATCATAAATTTCGGAATGAAATACAACTGTTATGAGATTCAGTGTTTACTAGAGTTTTTGTTGTGATTGATTGAGTGTGCTTAAAGTGAGAAACATCAAAGATTTATTGCCCAAACGCTAAAACATTCATCCGTGCAACAAAGAAAAGAGAATTAAGAATCAATTGATTGAAATGAGATTTCTTTTGGTTTGAAATCAGTTTAAATTTCTAGCAAATGGTGGAAGAGTGATTGGCCCTCTTGCTCTTTCATCTTCTGAATTGTCGCTTTCTGGTGGCGGTGGCGGTGGAGGTGGAGGAGCAGGAGGAGGAGTCGGAGTCGGACTCAAATTTGTGACATTTTAGCTTTTAATAACTACAATATAGTACTATTGTCTTAGAATGAATAAAGGTGATTGAAATTTAGAACGCTTTACAGGAGTTATTGAAAAACACAATCAAATCAAACTATTCTTGTGCTCTTTTCAACTATGAGATTGCTAAAATTTGTGAATTTAAAAAACTACCATAAAGCTGACTCGTTTCTATCAAATTTAGCTTACTTTTGGTCCGATTCTACAAGAAGTATACCAAAAAAATAGATAGATTAGAGAAAAATGAGACAAGCTTATGGTAGTTTTTGTTAATTGACACTTTCTTTGAACCTATTAGTTCAGAAGAGCAAATCCAGCTCTTCAGATCGATTTTTACAGAAATTTTCACTTTTTTCAAGCTAAATCTTTTCGTTTTGTTTAAAATTCGAAATTCATGATGTGAAAGTTTACTTCTCTTTCTGATGAAGCACCTTCAATTGAATAGTTTCGTTTTGAATGGCCATTGTATTCAGTAATAGCAAGTCAAGATTTGACACAAAATCCCCATAAAAAGTCATCCTTATAAACGAAAAATTTTCCTTTCCTCATAGTAAAGTTCTCAGAGTTAAAGCCTGTTTTTATTACATCTAGAAGAAGAGTGCTGAAGATTCTGTGTATGCAATTTGCAATTCATTTAGCAATGCTTTTGCTTCAACTACTCGTGAGTTTTTATGAAATTTGAGTGAAGCGACTGATCCTGAAAGAATACGGATAGCTGATAAGGTTGACAAAATACAAAACATCTCTACAAAAGTGTTCAAAAGCTCAGAAAAGACTTCTTACTCCTTTCTATTCAATGGTACAGAAATAAGTGTAGTATAGAAATAGAAAGATGGGAAATAAGTGTAGAGGGAAGTGAAGTGATTGTATTTACAGGGGAATATCTTGTGACATGCATGGATTGAATCAAGAATCGATCACAGATCTTAAGATCAAAACAAAGATTTCTCTTTCCCTAGACTAGATTTTCAAGTTTTCATTGAGATCTTGAGTCTTAAAAACTCATTTTCTTCAAACTACCATTTTATTCCCGTCTAAATAAAAGATAATTTGATGTTTTTTGGGTACATTCTTCTTTGAAAAGCAATTTTGTCGAGATCATGAATTGTAAACCCTAAAATGTTTACTAGAGTTTTTGTTGTGATTGATTGAATGTGCTTAAAGTGAAAAAGAACAAAGATTTATTGCCAAAACGCTAAAACATTCATCCGTGCAACAAGGAAAAGAGAATTAAGAATCAATTATTGATTAAAATGAGATTTCTTTTTGAATTTGTAATCAGCAAAGTTGGCCGGCGAAAAATACGCTCGGTCTTTTGATCTTTTGGCGCAAAATTCGCGTGGCTGCATTTCGTATGCTCGATTTTCGTTTTTGACTTTCGGCGCAATCGTCATGGTCTCTATTTTAGTACCAAGCCTATCAAACATCTATCAGCAAAGACAAGCTGTGGTGATTTTTGTGTATAATATTGGATTAGAGCATTGGAGATTAAAATTTCACCAAAAGTTTTGTCATCAATCCGCCGATTTCCAGGCCTACGCTCCGTATGGCGTTCAACAAGCCGCTTAACCCACCTATTCCTCCAATTCGGGATATCAATATCTATATTACTATCAAGGGAAATGATTATTTGAATAGACTAATAAATAATAAAACACATTTATGAATAAAGAAATAAAGGTACAGAGTCGAATAAATTTCTAATTCTGATGACCTAGTTTTCGGTTGAAACTTTTCGGGCATTAGAAAAATAGTTTCAAACTCTTGCATTACTTGTGCAATTTGATTGCTATTTTATAGAATAAGCACATAAATTGAATCGACATTGTCCCAATTTTTGCAGTCGGCTGATGGTCAGCTGATAAGCGAGAAAGCTGTGTTCTTACATGGGGAAAGTACTTGGGAAAGCATGAAAAATGGGGTAAAAAGCTAGTGATTGTATAGTAAAATCGAAAATAGTTAGAAAAATAGTTTCAAACTCTTGCATTACTTGTGCAACTTGGTCGATCTTATCTTCGAATGGTTACGGTAATGAAAATGAACACCGTTAAATTGTTAATTAATACTTTTCGCTTAATCATGAGAATTAGTCAACATTTCAATTTGGTCTAATGAAAGAATTGTTTAACAAATAATAGTACAGCCGGTGAGCTGAATGGTGTCTCGAAAAAATTTTGGAACGCGTCCCCGTTGGGGATGCACTATTAAAAATAAAAATGTGAAGCTTTATTTGATTTTTATCGTGATTAATATTTAACCCATTCGAAACCGTAGCGTTTTTTCTTTTTTTTCGTCTGCGGACCAAGCCTTTTTTTTGACATTTTTGACTCCGAAGCAGTTTATTTATGGTTGGAAAGATGTAAGAGAGTCTCCTACACCATTTATTTTTGATGAAGAACGATTAGGATTTGACTTCAGTACTTTTCAAAAAATCCTATCGATTATTATTCTTATTTTATCGACGATAAATTAATCAATATATTAATAGGCGAATCTAATAAACATGGAAAAAGGAAAACAAACTGGCAGGATTTCGATGCAAAATCTTTCAAGCTCTTCCTGGCTTCAAATGGGAATCGCCAAATTACCGAGGATTCGTGACAAATGAGAATTACTGGAGTAGCAGGCCTGGATTAGGAGGATTTTCCCACATGTCCCACATTATGTCAAGAGCAAAATTTGAATCTATTCTTCGAAACCGGCGTTTTTGTGATAACGAACTGGATCCTGCAGGAGATCGGCTTTATAAGATTAGAGCTATTATGGAACATTTCAATGCAAAACCAGAGACTGCATTGATTCCGGGTAAATATGAAACATCTTTTTTGCCCACGTAATTCGTAGATCTGCTACAATTGGAATATACATGTAATGCTGTAAAACAGCAAAAAAAAAGCAATTAATTGAATGAAAATAGCTCAATTAGCGCTGCAGCGGTCCGTTCCTGAGTTTTTGCTGCAGCGATTATTCGCTGCAGAAGTTTCGAATGGGTTAAGAAATGTGTGAACTCTTCACTTCGATTTCAGTGAAACGGTGACGTGGAACCACACGGGAAAATCGTCCGCTATATGGTGGAGAAAATTTTGTAAAATACGGGTTCTCCTAGTGCTGAAAATTGATTCCCAGAATCATATTGTCGTTTTCAGATGAGTGAGATTTCGAATAGTTTCCTTTTGTGAGTGAGTGTGGCAGGGGAGAGCGCAATGGACTTTACGGTAGAGCACAATCACTCTAGTAGACCAGGGGAGGGCGCAATGGACTTTGGGGTAGAGCACAATCACGCGCCGCTGGCACAGGGAGCAGATAGATAGCAAGAAAGAGGGCATTTCAATTTGGTCTAATGAAAGAACTGTTTAACAAATAATAGTACAGCCGGTGGGCTGAGTGGTGAATTTTTCAAAATAATTGTTGAAACTGTACAAATTTTGAATTTTTCACGAATTTTTCCGAAATTTTTACGATTTTACTATACAATCACTAGCTTTTTACCCCTTTTTTCATGTTTTTTACCAAGTACTTTCCCCATGTAAGATCACAGCTTTCTCGCTTATCAGCTGACCATCAGCCGACTGCAAAAATTGGGACAAAGAATCGATTTCTTAGAAAACTAATAAGAAAACATGTTTGCTAAATGCTAAATTTAACAAATAGAGCCCTTATTTCTGAATTTTCTTTTTTCCAATTTCCCGCCCGTTCTCTTTTCTGATCTCTTTCACAAAGCAAACATTTGCATTGATGAGGCTTTTTTCTGAGATGTAAACAAATCTCAAAAATTTGTTTGATCTCAGGAAAATGACAAAGAAAAGATCACGCAGATAGATGAAATTCGAAATTTGCCCATTTTTTCTTTGAAAAACCTTTTTTTATTAACAACTTTATCATTTTTAGAAACAGGAATGATCGACAAGCTCTGTTTGAGTCTTTTCTTTGGCGCTTTCTTTGGCGTTTTCTTGACATCTTGTAATGGACAAGCAGAAACTTCAAATCAACGACCATTCCCGCTGAATTTGGTGAGTAAAAAGTGTAGATACATATTGATATTGATAAGCAGATTTGATATTTATGCATCTAGATTCTCTCAAGTCAACATTTAGAACTTTAAAACGGTGTCAATATTGATCTGAAAGCAGCAAAGGTTGAGTCTACAGCTTGAACTAACTAGGTCTGGTCAGGCTCGCAGCCAAAACCACAGGATCTGGCTTTATTCTGGTCTGGCTTGGCTCGCAAAAATCGCTTTTGAAACAAACCTGGCCCTCACTAGGAAACGTCACCAGGTGTCCGTGACCTTTTAAAACGAGACCAACTCCATCTTATAGAATCGACTACGCTAATCCCGAATCCGTTTTCAGTTTTTGCCCTCGAGACCTGTAACGCGAGATATCTAGGTTACAAGTTTTAGGCCTACTTACTTGAGTTTTTCATATTTCGCAACGGAGTCAACTAGCGACGTGGTGAATCTCCAAAACTGCCGACTACGGGTCTAAAACATTGTAGTTCGATCCCCTCTTTGGCCAATTTCTTTTGGTCTTTTTAATCTGGTCCAAATTATCTCGCGTTACGGCCCTCGAGGATAAAAACTGAAAACGGATTCGGAATCAGCGTAGTCGATTCTATAAGATGGAGTTGGTAAAATCGTTTTTAGAAATATCTAAAAGTTCTGCCGGTTGTTTAAAATTTGTTTTAACAATGTGACATATCGTTTCCAGATCCCCTACCCAGCCAGTCAACAAAATTGTGACTCCTGTGTGACGGTGATGGAAGTAATTCGACAAAATAACGATATGAAGGCTTGGCAATTGACTGATGTGAGTTGTTGTGAAAAGGGAAAAGGCGGGGTTACGGTGGTTTTCGAAGATTGACACCTTTTAGAAAAAAAATCTTACTTAAAAAGAAGATTGTGGTGAAATAAAGGAAAAGAACTAAACAATGAACTTATTGAAAATGTCCAAAGGCATTTCTCTAAAAAAGCATACACTCGTTGTTTCCCTTCTTCTCTTATTCCAAATTATGAGACTAGACTTATAATTTTTGATTTAAAACCCCTTTTATATCACCGTATTTACTTTGATCTTATTTTTTGCTATAAATTTCTCTTCCACCCTAAGTCGCATCCAGAATTTCAAAGCCTCTTGAAAATGAAAAATTGTGGAAACTCCTAGAAGTATATGTAGTCATCCTTATCAAATTTCGGTCGGTTCTCATCTACATCATCTTTCCCTTTATCATTCTTTTGCGAACCGTATTAGTAGGGTTTGGAATAGGCTCCTGTCTGGTATCTTCTCGTCTGTAGGAAAATTCAAAGTATCTGCAAATGAATTAGATCTTATTGCCATGTCATCTGCTCTATATTTAATCTTTTTGTACCTGTGTTTCCTAACTGTAGTCAGGTACTGATCCTTATCAAATTTTTGATTTGATTCTTGTCGATCCTCATCCCCATCATCTTTCCCTCTATCATTCTTTTGCGAACCGTATTAGTAGGGTTTGGAATAAGCTCCCATCTTGGACTTGGAATAAGCTCCCATCTTGGACTTGGAATAAGCTCCCATCTTGGACTTGGAATAAGCTCCCGTCTGGTATCTTCTCGTCTGTAGGAAAATTCAAAGTATCTGTAAACGAATTAGATTTTATTGCCATGGCAAATCTGGCTTATATTTAATCTTTTTGTACCTGTGTTTCCTAACTGTACCATTTTTAGTTTTCTTTCTTTTTTTGTGAAATGATTGTAGCAATAAGTTATATGCGGTTATGATTATCTGATTCGCTTGTATTCGCCCTCTGAATAAAGCATATATATTATTTAGACTGTCTATCAGACTTGCATGAAAACGTCGCTGAGAAATTTGGAGGACTTTTGTCAAACGGTTGTCGCTGATATCGGTGAGTGATTTAGGGAAACGAGTTTAACTAACGTTTTAAAGGTATTCAGCCTAATAGCTATTTTAAAAAAACGGATAGTTTACTGTAGATCATTGAATTTTAGCCGGCTATCAAACGCAAATCCAAAACGGATTCACTGATCAACGCTTATGCGAGCTGCCGATGCCGGATTGCAAGAATTTCTGGCCAGCCGTTCCCGAGATAAATTAGTGTGACAAATTTCTGAATAAAACTTGATTCTTCTTCAATTTCTCCGTTATATTTTTTCTAAAATTTTGTTTTTCCAGCGCTAACACCATTCTTGATTCAACGCTTAAAGGTTGGTGACAATTTTCTGACAATTTTTTCACTTTGCTAACCCAAATTTTTAGCTATATTGATATATGTTTTGATATTTTGCTTTATGAGATGTTCATGTTAGATTGTTAGATTTGAAAAAGTAAGTTGTATGCACAAAGTACATATTTCAAGATTTTTGAGAATAGAAGTCAAATACTTTTAAAAGCAAACTAACATAGAACAATAACAGCTTGCACACAATTGATTGGCAACAATTGACAAACAAATAATTGATTGGTTTACTAATGTATTTGATTTATTCAGATTGACCACAAGATCGATATGGAAAACAAGAAGTTATTATCACAACCGATTGACTTTAACAAAACACGGGTTTTATCTGCAAAATAAATTCAGCAGATACTATTGCATATGTACAAAGAATTGCAAGATATTTTAAAGTTTAAAACTCGCTTGTTTCAAGAAAAATGAATTAAGATGAATTACATTTAAGAAAATGAATGAATCAGTTAGATAATGCACACTTTACAATGTATGTAGGTTGAGAAATACAGTCATGGAAAAAAAGCCTTTTTTTTGATTGATTTTTAGAAGTTTGTTCTTTGTAGATCTTGGTCCAAATCCGACCAATTTGCAAAGATTTAAAGCTTTAAAGAGCTTATTACCTCTAATTTTAACATTACAAAAAGATGGATTTGACAATTTATCAGGTGTCATGAACTTTTTAATAAAACAAAAATTGAGCCAAAAATTGAGTCAAAAATTGAAGGACAAAAGTCTTTTAACATGTGAGAAAAACATTATGAAAATCAATACTTAGTAGGTCCTCCGCGAGCCGCAATTACTGCTTGAATTCTTCTTGGCATGCTGGCAACCGGATCACATAGAATTTGGGGTCCAATAGTTGTCCAGACTCGACGGATGAAGTACCAAAGCTCCACTTTTGATCCGAATAGTTTCCCCTTCAATTTCGACTTCACAAACGCCCATAAGTTCGCGATCAAATGCAAATCAGGACTATGGTATGTATGGTATTCTATCTTCAATGACCGTTTTCGAAACGCTGAATCGACCAAAACACAAACGGTTTCTTTTATTGAAAAGCCCTATCTTTTTTTATATAAAATGCTTCTTAAGTGTTTTAAAAAGTGTTTGTTTTGAGGAATTTCCAGAGCCGAGAAGTCGAGTTTCCAAAATTAATAGAGGCCTGGCTATGCAATTTGATCCCTTTCTTCTACAGAAACCTATTTTGGTGTAAATAGAAAAAAGATAGAGCATAAAAAGTTTGGAGTATAGCCAACTTTTCAGAAGAACTCGTCCCACCGTTTTCTTTATCTTTCTCTTCAAAGAATTTGAAGATAAATGAGGATTTACTTGCGAATTTGCATCACATCTACGAAATCCCTTCATTTTCTCCACCGGAAATCCTCTTTTTTCCCCTGAAAATGAATTCCACACCATTAAACAGAATTGGCAAAGAGGATTATATCAAAAGATCGTGGAGTCCATATTTCCCCATCTTTAAATTTCTCAAAACACATTGAAATTATTTGCCGGAAAGCTTCTTTCGCCTCTAGTCGTATCCTAAAACCAATTTTTTTTATCCGACAATTGACACTTATAGAAAGTGTTTCATCACTTACGTTAGACCCCATTCTAGACTCTAGAATCTAGAGTATGCATCTATAGTTTTGTCTCCACATACACAAGTTGATATCTCTCGCCTAGAAAAAAATCCAAGAAGAGATATACTAAGGCAGCTCTATGGAAAATAGATTTTTCCAAATTTGCAAACTTTAATTACACAGATAGACTCAAAATTTTTGATCTTAAATCTCTTAGACACCGCCGCTTGGTCACGGATTTAATAGAATGTTTCAAAATTGTAAACGGCAAGCAACCTATCCCTCTTTTTTGAGATTTATTCAAAGTTAATCCTACGGTTAATTCAAGGAGAGGTTCTTTGATTTTAGAAATTTCAGTCACCTCCAATCATTTTGTGTATAACTCTTTTCCAATAAGAACTGCCAAAATTTGGAATCGACTCCGCAGAGTTTTGAGAGAGTCCAATAGTTTCGAAATCTTTAAATTATCTGTAGATGATCTCGATCTTGAAGCTCTAGTGGATTTTTGACGTTATCTGTGCTACCCATTACATACATTATATCGTATTCCTTTTTATCGGCCCTTTTCGTGTTATGTGTATGACCTCATGTGTATTAATCTTAAATCTAGCGTACTCTATTTCGGGTCCTGAATAAAGTATTTATATATATCTAATATGTTGTATCCGATTTGGATTGAACTCACCGCGGATATCCGATTTGGATTTCAATCCAAATCGGATCGGATTAGTGTTCTGTTTAACTACAGTACCCCAGCAGAAAAGTCTTAGCCAATAAGCTGAATAGTTTAAAATACTAGAAAATAGATATTCAGTCTTATTGGCTGAATATTTTTAAGTAAGTGATTAAGTGAGGCAAGTATAGTATCTGTAAAAATATTCAGTAAACAGAAAAATGAATTACTTTGAGCCATATTTAATTGGAAAGACTGATTTCTTTCCAATGATCAGAAGAAAATCAACTTTGTGTGTAATCAGAAATGTCTTCTTTTCCTTTCACTTTTCCCAATTTGATTTTGAATTTGACCATGCTATCCCAAAAGCACAGGCTCAAGGTAAAAGAATCATGGTTTGGATGAATTCCGCGCAAAATTTCGGGTTATTAAAAAAACAAGAAGTGCATTGAGGTTCAAAGTTCAAGGTATTACTATTCAATGTAAAACTCGATTTCCCGGATACTTTTGCGATCATATACCTGATCAGGAAAATCAAACCAGTTCTGATCTGCCATTAAAAATGATTGATGAATTGAAGCATTCAAAAAGGAATGTGAAAAAATGTCCAGCTTTATGTTACGTTGGGCTTATGTGGCATTCAAAGCCATGCTACACGATTCTGTCAAAGTGTAATTGTTCACCACCGTGCGCGGTTGAGAAATTTCCGGAAAGTCCTCCTCCTATTTGGGGATTACAATTCGAATATTCAACATGACACAAGGTGAATCACCGTGAGTTCTTAGAAATTCATGCATTATTTGAGAGAGCTTTTCGAGTGTTGCATGGATGGGAAGAAGTCGACTATCCTCAATGTACCACTTCATATTTAATCGAAAAACTTTTGATCAAAATGAAAGAAAAAGAGGATCCATCTTTTGGTTTTCCTTTTATGCATATAAGGCAGAGAGCTTATTCTGTGGCATTTAGCTGCTTTGACATGACACGCGAGGGTCGATCGGGCCTTCTTATCTCCCGGCATCCGAAAACGAAAAACTCATTTTGGCATAGATTAACTTAAAATGACAGACAGTCGAATTTATTGAATACCAGAGATTTGTCTAGTGAGAATAATAGATCAGAACTCAAAATCAGTTATCAGTTAAGAGACTAAACATCAGTTAAGATATCAATCAGCAACCACACCCAATAGCCCAAGTCTTTTCTATGATCTTAAAGACGAAAATGAAATAAATTAGGAATCACGAATTTCCTTTTAGCATTCCAAATGCTTGATCCATATTATCAAGTGTATGGTTTACCATATTACCAAGGTTTGGTATCAAAAACAATTCAAATTGGCTGTCAAGCAATTTTGGGAACGCAGGGAAACGATGCCGAAATCGCCGCGCCAAAGTGCAGAAAATTTTGTTGCAATCAAAACCGAAGAATTCAAGCATTCAAGCACCCACCTCTAACGTTTATCTACAATTCTTTAACGCGAACTTAAGGTTTTTGAAAATTCTTGAACTTATAGTTGGTATTTCTGTCGAAAAAAAATGCTTGCTTTTTTCTATCTAATGCCCAATCACAGTCAAATTCTACTTTGCAAAAAAAGCACCAATTTGAGCAGGCTTATAAACTGTTTGAAGGACGATTCACTCTTGATTTCTTCTCAAAAACTCTTCAACTCTTTATAACAAGTGAATATTTTATGCATGAATCGCTTTCAAACAGACATCAACAGTTATCGGCGCCACCGTCACAGCACCAATTCGATGGATCTCATTCTGAAACAGGCAACCTTTGTACAAGATTCTCGTGATTGTACAAGATTTTCGATTTCTTTTTTTCTATTTGTTGAAGGTCATTGATTAAAATAGCCTTATAAAATAAAAAAAATAGCCTTTTTCATAAATTCACGAAAATATCTTACATCAGCATTCTCCGGTGCTATCACATCGAAATTCAACAAAACTTTAGCAATCCCCATTTTCATTTCAGTCAGACCAAGGCGTTGACCTGGAATTTGGTTAGTTTAATGGCAAAGAAATTTCTAAAAATATAAATTTGTTCATTTAATATATGTAAACTTAACTAGTAATATCTGACTTTATTAGTACCGTATTTTCTCTAATAGTAGTGCACCCGGGCGAGCCGAGTTGGTGACTATTTTACGGTTTCCAAGCTTTTGCAGAAGCTCAACACTCAAATCCCCCACAAGATCTCATCGTCAGCTACATTTTCCGACCCCGCATCGATAGGTTCTGATAAGCGGTTCTCGAGATCTCGAGCAGTTTAGGTTGTTTAGGGTGCACTACTATTAGAGAGAATACGGTATTCTGTATTTTCTCTAATTGTAGTGCCCTTTCCCCCTCCCCCCGGCCGAGCTAGATGATTATTTTTACAGCTCCCAAGCTTTCACAGAAGCTCAACACTTTAATCCCCCACTAGATCTCATTGTCAGCTACATTTTCCGACCGCACATCGATAGATTTTGATAAGCGCTTCTCGAGATTTCGAGGAATTTAGGCAAAGCTTAGGGTGCACTATTATTAGAGAAAATACGGTATTACAGACTGCACTACTACTATAGACTGCACTACTACCATATTTTCTCTAATAGTAGTGCACCCGGGCGAGCCGAGTTGGTGACTATTTTACGGTTTCCAAGCTTTTGCAGAAGCTCAACACTCAAATCCCCCACTAGATCTCATCGTCAGCTACATTTTCCGACCCCACATCGATAGGTTCTGATAAGCGCTTCTCGAGATTTCGAGGAATTTAGGCAAAGCTTAGGGTGCACTACTATTAGAGAAAATACGGTAATATCTTCCTCACCCACGCACATCCTCGGCCCTTGCCCGAAAGCGACAAAAGCTTGCGATTGCTCGGCTGTAGTGTTCATCCATCTAAAAAATGATAAAGAATACTTGATTTCTGTGTTATCTATGATATTCTTGCTGTTTTTAATATTTTTTGCATGAACCTATCGGGATTGAACTCCTCCGCGTCGTCGCCCCAAACCTCTGGATCTTTTTGCATTGAATAGCCATCAATCTAAACATCAATCTTGCTTTTCGATAAAAACTTTAAACTAATATTTAACTTTCGAATATTTGTTAACAGTACCGAAGCGGATTTAAATGGTTTTTATGTCATAAATGAGAAATTTAACTAGACTTGAACCTGAACCGTTTCCTTTCCTCTTCTCTTGTCACTTTGGCCTCTCCGCCATTTTGAATGAAGTGCTTATCGTGCAATCTTTGCCAGAATTTGCCTTCAATTCGGCAATTCTTTTCTTTTCTCTTGACTACTTCTCATTTCTAACTCTTCCTACTTTCTTCGTAGTTGATTGAGAATTAAAATTTGACCTGTTGGCAAAGTTTTGTTGAAAAGTTTTACTAGAGAATTTTAGATCTTTAAAAGCTGAAACTAGCTAACTATAGGGCTTTTATTTATATTTTTTACCTGAATCAACGTCCCCTTTTCGAGGTGAACCCCAGCAAGATCACAGTCTTTCTCGACGACACGAGCTGACACTCTAAAGCCTCGAGATTAAAGTTTTCAATGTTTAATTCAAAACCACATCGACTTTTCACTCTAAAGTCACCTGGGTTCAACTCTTTTAAACTCACTGATTTGCAACTGGATGAAATCTCAGTGATTCTTTCACGAAACAATCAAGATACTTCATTTGAGGTAAATCGTCAAATTTCAGAGTCTAAAACAATGTTGATAAAATTTTTTTACATTGTAATTATTTTAGTTTACAATTCTAGACTTTAAAACCTACCGCATCTCCAATAACTCCTTTTATTTCGTCTCTCAAACGTTCTCGTATTTCTGGATTTCTTGCCAAATAGTGCGTGGCGTATCCAAGGGAATTGGCTGTGGTGTCAAAGCCTGAAATCGGTTTTGATTCGTGTTTTTTTGTATCGAAAATTATGTACTTTGTGCTAATCGTGAAAAAACGGCACTTTCTGGCACACTCAATTCTTTCCTTTTCTCCCAGTTTTGTCAAGCAGTCAATTCCCGTGTACCAGAAAAAGTGTGCTTTCATTTTCAACACACCCTTTGGAGAAGTGAGGTCAAACTGGTCGGATAATCTTGAGATTCCTTACTGCATACTAGACATGGGCATCGGGTCGTGTCGGGTCGGGTCAAAAGTGACCCGCTGACCCGACCCGGCCGCCAAAACTCGAAAATGGACATGTCTACTGCATACCTAAGTTGAGCTTTTTGATAAATTACCCACCTGCCAACAAAAACATAAAACAACTTCCGATTGCTTCTTCTTTTGTGAGCGCTCTTTGTAAATGCTGAAATAGATCAAATTGAAGATCAAAATTAGACTTGAACTTGGAAAATTGAATTAAAAATTGGAAATGAATAGTAAAAAACTAAACACCTCACCCCGATATCCCGTCGATCAAACGCTTTATCGTAATCGAGATTAAAGTCTTCTTGTTCGGCATCCAAAAACATGTCAATGAAGTCGCCAGGTGTCACCTCGCCGGCCGCCTAAATAACTTTGTACAGCAAATGGATATGCTTGTACTAGGGGGTAGGCTAATTTACGCAATTTTTTTAGCGCAACAGGGTCGTTTGCGCAACTGGCCATAACTTTCTTCTAAGTCAGCCAATCTTTATCGTTTTGGTGTCATTTTGTAGATCTCAATAAGTGCAACAAAATGACACCAAAACGATAAAGTAAGATTAAGACTCTAGTACAGGGGTAGGCTACTTTGCGCCACTTTGTGCAACTGGGTCATTTGCGCAACTCGCCATAACTTTCTTCTAAGTGGGCCAATCTTTATGATTTTGGTGTCATTTTGTTGCGCTTATTGAGATATACAAAATGAAATTAAAATCATAAAGATTGGCTGACTTAGAAGAAAGTTATGGCGAGTTGCGCTAACAATCCAGTTGCGCAAATGAGCCTGTTGCGCAAATAAAATGGCGGCAAATAATGGCAAATAATAAAATGGCAAATAAATAAAAAATTTGGCGCAAAGTAGCCTACCCCTGTACTAGAGTCTTAATTTTACGATATCAAGCTAATTTTATAGCTGATTTTTTAATTTAATTTTACTGTCTAATGCAATCGTGTACCAACCCTTGCTTTTCGTCTCCCCTCAACCGCTGTGACGACTTTTTTCATCAATTTCATCCCACTGCCGCCTTTCATTAGATAGTAGAGCTCGAAACCGCGACGAAAAAGCTCAAATATTATAAGTTTTCAATAAAAAATACTATTTATATTCTAAAAGCAGATATTTTACGCTTGGCAAAATCCCAACCATTCGAAAACGAGGGAACATCACAGCTAAACAGATGAAAGGCTCTCGCATGTCTCGCTCGAAAATCTGAAAGCTTTTTAAATAGTTTTAGTTATTAGAATTGATTACTATAAGAACAGAAACTTATGATTTGTTGACAGTAAACGTACTCTTTTCATGATATCAACGAGCTCTGTCTCAAATTGGGTACTCCTCTTCTCACCCAACGCCAACCGGTTGATCACGTCCATTGAGAATTCTTGGTAATATCTAATTTATGAGAAATTTAGACAAAAAGAACTCGGGAATTTATTAGCTTATCTTATATTTTAGTAACAACAAAATAATATTGGCTTTTTTAAAGCCAGCCCTCACTTCTGAAGGCTGTAAGGGCTATTTTGCCATCTAGGTGTAAGGCCATCTAGGTGTAAGGCCATCTAGGTGTAAGGGCATCTAGGTGTAAGGCCATCTAGCTGTAAAGCCATCTAGCTGTAAAGCCATCTAGCTGTAAAGCCATCTAGCTGTAAAGCCATCTAGCTGGCCATCTAGCTGGCCATCTAGCTGTAAGGCCATCTAGCTGGCCATCTAGCCATCTAGGCCATTTTGCCTCATCACAAGTCACAAATTAAACACTCACAATTTGGACTTTTACTATAAAATAGTTCTAATCGATCATGTCACCTGTGAATATTGAATGCTTCTTTCCCGACGTGCTTTGATAAATGTTTGATGAGATGCTCTGAAGAATCTCCAACCAAATCCATCATCTAAAACTTTTCAATTGATAAGAACCATGGAAAGTTATAGAATTTTTGATTTGAAAGAATTTTTTCCAATCAAACTTACCTTTCTCAGCGAGTTATTCGTGAAGAGAGGGTTCGAGATTGAGCGCATTCGCTTCCATCTAGAAATTTCGAAATTTTATGAATCTCCTATTACGAAACATCTAACTTTTCAATTTTATCCTTTTTCCATTTTACCTAGTCCCTCGTGCGTCCAACAAATGCATCACTGGCTCGTATCGATTCATGTGAAGGAGGTGATTACCCTGAATTTTTTGGCTTTTCTTCTCTCTTCATTTTGGATTGCTAGTTGCTCAAAAATCTATGAATTAGTGAAGTGGATTTGAATTTATCCAAACGAACTCTTCTTGTTTGAAACTCCTCGTGTCTTGTGTGATAAATCTCGTGAGCGACTTTTGGATCAGCGACGACGAGAACCCGGTGCACACCTTCGTTGTGACCCCAAATTTTGCCGTATTCCTGAAAAACAGTTCTCCTTCTTGGATTTCGGAAATGTTGAACAAATCTAGCAAAAAAAGAATGGCTTGTAAGGTTGGCTTATTGTTGGCTGCATCACGATATGGTAGGCTTAGATACCGTTAGTTCACATGTTAGATTGTTCCTGGAGCCAATTTTCTCGGCAAAGCCAAAGCCAAAGCCAAAGCTTTTTGACTTTTCGGAATAACCCTACTTCCATGATGCGTTTAAATTTCGATAGCGATGGAAAAAGCAGAAAAGAAACAAATTGTGAAAGTTTCGGTGTTCAGCCGATAAGTCAAATGGTTAGATTCAATCTGTCTGTCTAAAATAGCAATGAATACATCTGACGATCAAATCTTGAACAAATCTAGCAAAAGAAGAATGGCTTGTAAGGTTGGCTTATTGTTGGCTGCATTACGATATGGTAGGCTTAGATACCGTTAGTTCACATGTTAGATATGGTAGGCTTAGATACGGTTAGTTCACATGTTAGATTGTTCCTGAATTTTCTCGGCAAAGCCAAAGCCAAAGCTTTTTGACTTTTCGGAATAACCCTACTTCCATGCTGCGTTTAAATTTCGATAGCGATGGAAAAAGCAGAAAGGAAAGAAGTTGTGAAAGTTTCGGTGTTTATTCCGATAAGTCAAACGGTTAGATTCAATCAATCTGTCTGTATAAACTAGCAATGAATACATCTGACGATCAAATCTGATGTTTTAGAGGTTTAACCAAAAAGGAAACTTTCTGAAAATCCTTCTTTTTCTTATCTACCTTTGTCATTTTCTCCATTTCCATCATCCATGGCTTGTTCGCGTTGTAAACTTGATCATAGAGACCGAAAAATAGTGGATTCTTTGGGCCAGGCACTCCCTGAGATCTCCAATAGTTCGCTCGTTTGTAAGCAAAACTGAAAAATAAACTTTTAAGTTTGCAATTTCTTTTTACTTACATCAAATAATATAAAGCACTTGTCGCTAGTCCAATAAGCAGTAGCTCGAAAATCATTTTTGCTAATTTTTGAGGTAAGGGACAAGCTTATTTGCCGATTTTATTAGCTCTGAACCAAAAAAGGTCCGTTTTTCCTTTTTCTTATCACTTTTCTCTCCACCGGATCTTTTTGACGTTGTAAATTTTCTTCTGAACAAAAAATTTTTTGGAAAAGACACACGCCGTGTTTTCCTACTTTTTGAAAGAGCTTTTACACGGATACGCAAAAAAAAAAAGATGAGACATTGAGAAAATTTTGAAATGAAATGAACAAATAACTGAGATAAAGTCACAGAAATGGATAGTTCAGAGAAAAGTTTATGCAAAAAATTGATTGAGTTTAGATTGAAAGCTGAATTCTTAAATGAAGTGTGTAGGTAGAAACAGATTTTTTTTCAGTCTAAAATTTTTTTCAGTCCGAAATTCAATCACAGAGTCCAAGAATACTGATGATACTTTTTCAAAAGTTTATACAAAAACCAGAATTCGCTTTGAAAAAGCTCATTTCTCATTTCTTTTCTAAAAAAATGTTATAACTTTTTGTAGAGTTGGGCAAATTTGATGATTTTTGCATCAAAATGTTCGTAAGAGTCTCTAGAATAAAACTTATCCCTTCGTTTTTGGCTCTAGACCCTCGTTGTCGAGTTACGAGCCCCAAACTGCAGGGTACCACAAAATTTCTCATACAAAATGACCAAAAAACCGCTAAAACTAAATTTAAAAAATTTCTGTCAGAGGGATTTGAAAAATTCCTTCAGATTCGGAATCAGCACAATTTTCCGCATCTAAAAAAGGTACTCCCAGAAAAATCCGATAGAAAACGCATTTTTGCCTTATTTCGCGCCGATGTGCGCCATAATGACGGTGCGGAGTGTTGCGTAGTCTAGCTTTGAACGAGTTTTTCTCGACACTGGTTTATGCTAGAATGTTCGTTTAGATATCAAAAATAGCTCTGAATTTCAGCTATTTTTGATACGAAAGACGCATTTTTTGAAAGTACGGGTGCTTTGCAAAAAATGAAACACTAAGAAGACTTTTGCGACTACGCGACTGTACGAGGGGGTGGGGTACTATTACAGTATTTATTTGTAATTCGTAACAGTAATTTGCACAGTTAAATGCTCGTGGCCTAATTTCAGTCAACAAATCAGTGGCGGTATTTTTTTTTCATTTTAACATTCCACCTTAATTTCTTTTTAGTTTTGATGTCAATCGGCTGATGAAACTTTTTGGTTGGCCGGATTTCGTGTTAACGAGAAGAACGATTGCAGGTAAAATCTTTTATTTCATCGTCTTTTCAAGATTTTAGGCATTAAGTCAAGAACTTATGCGGTTTTTGTTGAAAATGATACATTTTTATGATTTAGAAGGACCTTGGATCGTCTGAAAACATTTTGCGACATTCAGCTGAGAGGTCAAAGTAAGTTTTTTGGAATTTTAAAAACTTTTCAAGAAGTTAAACTTGATTTCACATGTTGACCATTGATATTTAGTCTTTAGTACCTTTATTGATGTTCTTAATGTTCGTAACGCATTTCTGCATTATTGCATTACTGCATTACTACATTACTGCATTTCTTAATGTTCGTAACGCTTTGCCATGGCTTCAGAATACAACTTAACCTTTTTCTTTTAGCTTCGAGCTCACATCAACTCATGAAGGCCGTTTCGGAGGTATTTCAATTAATATTAAAGCTTGAGATACTTTTGAGTACAATCTGTAAAGTTAATCTCACTATTATTTTAAAAACTATCTGACGAGTAAGAATTTGAAATCGCTTTGTTATAACATTTCTTTGCTTGTTGACAATTTATCCAATCAGTTGTAAAGCAGTAAATTTTTCTTTTAGTTAAGCATCAATCGGACCAAGGTTTTGGGTGTTAACAAACGAAAGAATCGCCGAGAAGGTACGTGTTTTATTTTGATAGGAAACATCGAAGACTAAAGATTGTCACAATGACTTGTTTAATCGAGTAATTTAATCATGCTTGCGTTATAGCTGATAGCATCTTGCCATTTTTTGGATATAACTTTACTAATGGCCTTTATCTTTTTGTTTGTTTACAGATTTTACTTCTTTAGTGGTACACGAGAAGTTGCTGAATCTAGCGCACCGATTTGTCGAGATCGACAGCGATGTCTACGTCCTTTGCCGCTTGTCTTTGTGAAGTGTGAGTTTATTTTCAAAAGCTATTATTGCATTTGCTAAAGTTAGGTAGTAGCATAGAATTTTTATCTTGCTGCAAAGTTTAACAAAGCGATTTTTCGGTTTACAGTTTAGATTTTATCTTTTATCTAAACAATTATTTTAGGAAAAACTCCCTAAAATGGAATGGCGGTTCGGTTTGGTGAACATCGTCTCGTACACTTTCGCCGTTTTGATCACGTTCGTCATCATTTTTGGCCTGTGGCTGAGAGAGCTTGTTATGGAGGGGAAAACAGCGGGGTGAGCGTTAGATTTTTAACAGATTTAAATTTTAATGATCTATTAAGCGCTAAAATCATTCGGTTCTATTTAGATCTTTGAAACAAATTCCCGTCAACTGCCCGTCCGATCACTCCTCCACCTCCACCCCAATCTCAACGCGCGCAAACGCCTGGCACGTCAAACGATACACCAGAAGCCCAGCAACGAAAGTAAATAAAGATTTTTAAGTAATTTATTGTTTTTGAATATGTTTTTGATTTAGCTTAGCACATTTTTGTGTTGGCTGCCGTTTCGGACGACTGTGGCGAATTACCACTGCTCTGCAGTTAGTCAAAAATTCAATACACAGGTTAAAATTCAAAGTTGATGGATAAACTACCGTAATCAGTCACTAGACGATATTCAGTTGTCCGTTTGTTGTAGCTTGTATACTTAAAAAATCCGTTATTCAAGCTTTGCTTTTGAGTGAGTTTTTGTTCTCCTTTTTGTGCTTTTTATCATCCTTTTTTTCACATGCAAGTGTTGAATGAATTGTGATAGTGCCAGGTTGCTCCATTTTGAGCGAAGTTTGCCCTAATAAGGGAAAGTTGGATAAATTGTGCGTTTTCAAGAAGACCACTGAACCACACCGAGACACGGTCTCACAAGAAATTATATAGATCAAAACATCAACATATATTTCTTACAGACGACAGCTATCTATGTTAGCTGTAGCTCTGAAAATTTGTAACCGAGGGCATTCTGGGATAGAGAATCTGAATCCGTTATTATTTTTTGAGCAACTTTAATTTCCAACTCAATACGGTTATCACAAAACTCTAAAACCTTGGGTAATTAAATCAAAGTGGAGAAAAAAGAGCGAAACCAAGTTTGGATTCTGTCCTATACCCCTATACGTATGCCAGAAGCCGCACGATTACGTAAAAATGAAAAATTCCCGTAATCGCGCGCCTTCTGGCACTGGATGTGGGGGTCGCACTTGAGTAATTAAACCGGATGAAATATCCAAAAATAGAGCAACTTTCTTTAAAAACAAAGTACGGATTCGAATTCCTTGACCCCGAAAACCCCTGTTGCAAATTTTCAGCCCAATCGGCCTCAAAAAAGTGTTAAATCCACGTACGGTTCACTGGTGAGCCGTATCGTTGCGAATGTGTCAGTAAAGAATTTTTGATTGATCAAGTGTTTGAAAAAATTATTAGGGAATGAAACGATCGACTGTATAAATGGTGGAAGATCTCAATCTTGATATTGTATTAGCTGAATACTTTGAAGTTACTGTTACTTTTGAGTTTTCTGACAATGATTACAAGATACTGATTGCCCAATAGAAGAATCCGCTTTGAACCTTCCTTTCGCGACCTAGCTAAAGTACGTCTAAAGTCGAGAATTACAGTAACTTAACTGCAGTTGAACTATTTGTAAAGAAGTTCTAAAGATTCAGTGTTGGAATTTGTTGATCTACATGAACTCTAAAATTTTTCCATACTTATTTTCACCCTTCCACTTTAGCTGATTTCATGCCCTATGTCGTTTTGGGGATAATCTCTCTCTGGTACACTTAAAATCTCCAAAAATGGATGAATCCGGAAGGGACCTCACTTAAATCGGATAAAGACAGAGAGTTTGTGATAAGAAGAGATTTCAATCAAACTTGATCGTTTCTTAAAGTCATCACCGCGCGAGAAATCCGAGCTATTTTGAGGAGTGGCCCTTTGTGAAATGTTCAGCAGACCAAAAATGCCATAACAGTTTTGGTGAGCGTTGGGAGATTTGTTAAAGCCGATATAAATATCTATCTCACTGTCTCAGTTGGTATTTACAGTTTACCAGTTAAAAGTGTGACCCAACCGGAGCTGAGCCTCTAATTCAGGACAGAAGTCGTAAGTTGTATGCGGGCTGGCCCAGCTGGCCCAGCCAAGTTTCTGATCCATTACCTGGACCCAGGTAATGGATCAGAAACTTAGGTCTTTTTTGAACATCGACTCAATTAGATATTCTAAAGCTTGCTCCAACTACCGACTCAAACTTTATCCTTGTCTGATCTTTTATAAAATTTCTCCGTTCCCTACCGTAAATACTCTAAAAGAAGGTTAAGCTGACAGGAATTTTGTTTTTTTATGCCTAGTATGTACTTTTATGAGTCAGGGCTATAGTTAGCAGGTTTTTCTGCTTGCTCTCTTTCCAAAGCTAGCTACCGTATCCCAAAGGGGGATACGGTAGCTACACTACTGGACAATGAAATATCATATTTGAAAAAACTCTTTCCGCACTTTCGCGCGTCTGTAACTCCCTTGTCTTTACCGTATTTCTAAATATTAATATTACCATTGTGTAGCCCTTGAAAAGAGCTTTCAGAAAATGTATAACACTAATAGTTTAAACTCAAAGACAATGGAGTTACAGACGCGCGAAAGTGACGATCGTTTTTCAAATATCATATTTCATTGTCCAGTACTGTAGCTGTAAGCAGAGAGGCCAGAGTCAAGACAGAAGTCAGGTCTAGACCAAATCCGATACTTTATGGTTTTAGATCTTTGAAAAAATCCGTTAATAGGTTCGTCTTTGAAAAATTTGCAAGAAAATTGGCAATCACCAGGGCTCCTCGGCTAAAGAACCTCGGCCGATCTCTTCACCACAAAATGTATCTTGATCTCTTTTTGAGCAAGTGCACGATTTTCTTTTCACAAATCTCCCACACATTTTATCCCATTTTCATTTCAAGAAGCGTTTTGTGAAAAGAGGCTGTACATAAAGAGAATGTTCAATTATAGGCGAGAATTCGCTCTCTTTCTCTTTTCTCTTCCACTTTTTGATTTTTTCTTCTCCTGCTGGTTGTCTATAGAAACCGATTTTTCTCTCGATCTCTTTTTCCAACAAAAAAAAAAATCATTTAGTTTTGTGCTGTCTGAAAAGGCTTTTTTTCGTGACGTTTCATTTCGTGCTCATTTTACGTTGATCACTGAGTTTTCGGTGTACACAAGCTACGTTTTAGATTTTCGACTTTCTTGCACTCATTTTTGGATATGTCGTAGCCGATTATGAATGAAATTTTTTGGCAAATCTTTTTAGGCAACTCTAGTAAAGCAACCCTTTAATGTATGAGGACAAAATTATATCATCTTGTAGCGAATTCAATTCTGCGTCGATTGGTACCAAATTTGTGAGTTTAGGTTTAAAATTACCGGCGCTACAACGTTTCATTCAAAATCGGCGCGACCACCGTAGCCGATTATGAATGAGTGGGTCTAGGAGCGTCTAACCATCAAGTATTTGGTATCATTCAAAGCAGAATCATTAATAATTATGTTAAATTTTTTAAATTAGAAAGATTTGATAAAAAGAAAAAAAATTAGAGCAAAAAAACTGTTTGTTCAAGAGAAAACTTTGAGGCCCCATAATTTTTTTTCTTTTTATCCAATCTTTCTAATTTCAAAAATTTAACATAATTATCAATGATTCTGCGTTGAATGATACCAAATACTTAATGGTTGGACGCTCCTAGACCCACTCATTCATAATCGGCTACGACAGATATACAACGGCCCTTTAAATCTTCGATTTTGAAATTAATAGTTTACTATTACTTTTAGGAATTAGTAATATCTTTTCAAAGAACCCCTTGCACAGCAATAAAGTCAGGGAAATTTTTGGTGCTTCTAGCTATTTTTCTAGCAATATCTAGCAATTAAAACATTGAGAATCTGCTGATAAACTGGAGGGATGCTTTTTAAAATCCCATACAAAACTTTGAGCGCTTATAACTTTTGATAGAGTGCTATTTAGCAAAAACGGAAAGCAGATTCGGAATGAGCGTGAAATTCTGCGTTGAATTTCATTTGGCCACCACACCCGGTTGGCAAAACACTGTGCTGAAGGTAAATCATCGTGTTTACTTGCTAATACGCAAATATTTATGTTTGAAAGCAGTCTTTCGTTAATTCCAATGTAAATTCCAATGTAAATTCCAAATTTTTGGTTGTTGATTTAACTTTTATTCGTCCTTATTGATCTTAGTACTTTTATTCGTGCTTATCTTAGTGCTTATCCTTCTTTTCTTGTTCGGGGAACAAGAAAAAGAACGCTTTTGATCAAAGGTGTCAAAACAAGAAAACAAGTCGTAAATAGGACTTGTACTGTACAATTTGCTGATCGAAAACAAGTTAAGCACCGGTAAATAACAGATATTTGTGCAAAAATGTGCACCAGTTGGTTTATTTGTGGATTATTCATTGACAAATTTCACGTATTTGGATTTATAAGTACGAAAAAGGGCCACTCTAGTAATTGTAATTTGTGTACTCGTACTTATCGATCCGAGTACGAGAAATCCGTCAAAGAATAATCCACGACTTATAAAGCAAGTGAGACAGAAAATTTAAATAATAGATGCACAGATACAAGAGAAAAGAGAATACGTTTCCTAAAACATGCAAAATTTTCAAAACTACCGTAATCTTGACTTTAGCTTTGAACTAATCTATTGGGTTGTCCAGTTATGAATGCGCCTTTTTACTATTTTGTAAATTTCTCAAGATATCGAACAGATGGATATGAGTGTTATATATCATTCGAAAGCTGAAGATCTCCTCTACATTTTGGAATAAAGGGGTTTTGAATTCATTCAACTTTTTGGGAAATTGACTGCACAAAGGGAGAGGTCGTTTTCCAAAAAAAAAACCCATTCCAGCTTAGCTGTTCCTCAAGTTTTATGGTGTAAAATAACCGCCCAGAAAAGAAAAGAAAAGATGCTCTGTAATTGTTATATTTTAAAAAAAGTTGTATTGATATATCTATTGGCCAAACATCAAACGATTAACTCAATTTGAGCGCAGCCAAAACTTGATCCAAAGGCCACCTTCCATTTTTTGGTCACCTCTTCTTCTATGCAGTCAATTTGCCCAAAAGCTGGACAAATTCAAAAACTTTTTATATCAAAATGTAGAGGAGATCTTCAGCTTTCGAATAATATTCATATATATCTTTTTCTTGATTTCGGTATCTTTACAAATTTACAAAATAGTAAAAAACGCGCATTCATAACTGGACAACCCAATATTTAATTTTGAATCTCTTTGTATTGAAGCCTTGCCGAATCAGCCAAAAAGTGTAAATTGAAGAAATCTGCAATTATGGTAGTTTTCAAAAGTTGACACGTCTTAGAACATGCTTTTGTTGCAAGATAAACGATTTGTTTTTGCGAGAACTGTATACCGTATTTTCTCTAATAGTAGTCCACCTGGGCGAGCCGAGTTGATGCCTATTTTACAGTTTCTAAGTTTTCCCAGAGACTCAACACTCAAATCCCCCACAAGATCTCATCGTCAGTTACATTTTCCGACCCCACATCGATAGGTTCTGATAAGCGGTTCTCGAGATTTCGAGGAATTTAGGCAAAGCTTAGGGTGCACTACTATTAGAGAGAATCCGGTATACGACTTGTTTTCTTGTTTTGCCATCTTTTTGGCCTAAAATAGGTACTTATTTTTGTTTAAAACTTGTACTCTTTTCAAATTACTTGTTTAAACAACGAACAACAACGTGCCAATTCTCATTTACTGACCATGGCACCTCTTGAGCAATCTCCTAGGAAAAGCTCTAGACATTTGTTCGCATTGTACACGGGTTCAAATCACATAATAATTCAAACTTTGTTACTAAATGTAGAAAAAGAAAATCTCTCAAACTGTCTTTTCCTTTACAAATCGAAAACTTTTGTCTGACTCATCGCTTAACTTTGCAGTGATTTTGCTCGGAGTCCAGAAAACATTCAAAACAAACAAACAAACAAACAAACAAACAAACAAACAAACAAACAGACAGACAGGCAAACAGACAGACAAACAAACAAACAAACAAACCAACAGACAAACAAACAGACAGACAAACAGACAAACAGACAGACAGACAAACAGACAGACAGACAAACAGACAAACAAAATGAAACGCACCAACCAACTTAAGCACCAACTTTTAAACAAATCTTCTTTCTGATTTTACTTTGACTATTGTAAAAGCAATAAAAGTGGAATGATCGTAAAACTAAAACCCGATGTGAGCGGTAGAAATTAGCTGTTAGTTCTAAGGAAAAGAAGTGCCGTTTTTTTCAATTGAATTTTCAATTTTTCAATTGAAATAGAGTATTGTTGAATACTTAGATGTACAGTAGGATCAAGTACTAGAAAACACACGCTTTATTTTTGGGATCAAGTATAGGTCTCTTAAAATGTGTCAGTTTTTGCAAATGACCGTAATCTTGCAGAGCTTTCATCTAATTGATCTAATGAATTGAATTGATTTTGTTTGATTTGCCTGATTTGCCTGATTTTGCCTGATTTTGCTTGATTTTGCCTGATTTGTTGCCTTTCAAAGGATACCGTAAGCTTCAAAGATTGGATAAAATTAGAGTCAAGTTTACGGTAGTTTGTAAAAGTTGACGCGTTTTAGAAAACGGATTCCTTGAGAGCAACAGCAACAGGGGGCCCTCATGGTGTATTGGTTAAGTTCTCACTTCCAAACTGAGGGTGTGGGGTTCGGCCCCCCTAGGGTTCTCTTCCCTAGCCCGTGCGCCCAGACTAGAGGTGTCTTCTCTAGAGCTGACTAGAGATCCCTTCTCTAGCGGAGTTCACTCTTCCACTGGGTTGGCCCATTCATGGCCTGAGGTTATTAAAGCAAGAAGCCTATCTTCTATCTATCTTCTTTTCTCCCCGCCTCCACATCGCCGAGTAAAATATCTCATCTTTCTCTATGTATTTATGTGTAGATTTGTGTATTGTCTGACTGATTACGCTTTATTTCATGTCCTGAATAAAGTATAAATATAAAAAAAAAATATAATTACTTGAGAGCAACAGGAATTACTTGAGAGCATACTTCTAACGTTTTTTTGATCTTTCATTTAAATTTTCCATAAAACAAGCATCTTTTCTTTTCAAAGAAACCAAATTTCAAGTAAATCTTGTGAGCAAGAAAACAATTTTTTTCCTTTCCAAAAACTCAGCGATCCATCGCCGAATACAGAGATCAGAGGCGATTTTTCCTTTCCAAAAACTCAGAGATCCATCGCCGAATACAGAGATCAGGGGAGATTTTCAGCATTCTCATCATTTTATTCACCGAATAATTCATTTGTGCATTTTTTTTTTCTGTTTTTTTCCATTCCATTTCTTCTTCTTTTCCTTTTGCATCTATAATCTGAGGAATTATTATGTTTTTTTCACAGTGATCCCCACCGATTTTTGGTCACAATTGCTGATCTCATTTCCCTTGACTACATGATTAAACCAACTTTTTGTCTTTTTCACCTTGGAAATTTTAAACCGGGAAGTTCGAGAACGGGTACGAAATCCCGTTTCTTGAGTCACATTTAGATTTGTTCCATTTGTTCCATTCCGATTTATTCCATTGTTCCAATTTTGTTGAGCTAAACCGTTTCAGCTACACTTTTAAAGTTTCACGTATGAAGCTTAAAGAATTGAAGCGTTTAATTTGAAATTTTAACAAACTAGAGTCAATTTAAACTTTTCGTTTGAATCTTTGCAACAATCGGACAGCCTTTCTTTATATTGGAATAAAGAATATTCAGCAAATAGCCTATCGTGGGTTGAGTAGGTCTGTTGCAAAGCCAAGTTTTGTTGCTAGGTGTTACAAAGCAAGAATCTTTGGAAAAACTTGGCATCTGCCCAGGCTTTTGCTATGCATTGCCTGTGCCTATATACAAGAACACTTCGATTACACGATCCAGCTATTGGGTTAGTGCATAAGTCTTTACAATCACTTTTCCACTTTGGCTTTTGTGATTGCATTGTACATTTAGCTGACATTTATTGTATAGCTTGCAATCTTTGGAACAATGGACCTTTCTTTATATTGAAATAGAGAATATTCAGCCAATCGACCTTGGCTTTCTGATTGTTTTGTAAGACTATGAAGTTATAGTTTAAAAAGAATGCCACCAGGAATCTTCCAACCGGGCCTGCAAGTCATGAGAAGCCATGTCATGTCAGACAAGGCAGAAGCCAGGTCTAGGCTTGGTCTATAGTGGGCACAATGTGGACCAGGTCTGTTGCAAAGTCAGCCAAGCTTCTGCTCAGGCTTTTGTCGTGTCTTGCCTGATCATTCTTGAGATTTTCTTGAGATTCAATTCAAACATGTTCTTACTAACCACCCTTTTTTGATGTTGGTAGCTAGAATAGTATTGTTTAAGTTTCTTATTTCTCCTAGTCTTTTTGGAAAGTTTATCATCATTCTCTTGCTTTTTTTTTCGCAATTCCAATCATTTCCCTTCAAGATGGATCCATGCGAGGGCACATCAACTGATGATTTTTCGTCTCCATTTGATGATTCCGATTTGTCTCTCACCTGTCTTGTCTGTGGCCATAAACCAGCCAGGAATTATTACGGATCAATCGCTTGCAAGTGAGCCAAAAAATCTGTTCAAACTTTACACAAAAGACAAATGAAAAGTACAAATGAAAATTTCAGCCGTTGCAAGACTTTTTTCTTACGAGTGGCCACTCGAAAGAAACGATACAACTGTGAATACAATAGTAATTGTAAATATCGTGAGTGGTTAAAAGGAAGATAGAAAAATTTGATTTTTAGCAAAAGATCGATGTCCGGCATGTCGCTATCACAAGTGTCTGACGGTGGGATTGATCCCGGAAAGTGAGATTTCGATTGAGCATGTTTAAATTTGATTTTCGTTGAGAATTGGGGAACTTACAGAATGTAAAGCTGTAGAAAAATATGAAGAGAATTAGTCTAGATCTTGATCTAGTGAATAATGAATTACTATTGTTTCAGACTTGTTAATAAGCGGGTCTACCAGTCAATTTTCCAGTGGCTGGCCGGAGAGAGAATTGGGACTTACAGAACGTAAGGCTGTAGAAAAATATGAAGAGAATTAGTCTAGATCTTGATCTAGTGAATAATAGATTACTATTGATTCAGACTTGTTAATAAGCGGGTCTACCAGTCAATTTTCCAGTGGCTGGCCGGAGAGAGGGATGTCAGAGACGAGCGAGAGAGGGAACAATGAGCATCATCGAGCCTCCATCACCTGGATTGCCTTCATTAACAGAAGTAGAGTACGGTAGAATTAGAGTACGGTCGAATTGGTGTCAACAAGTAGAAAGTTTTCAGTTCAGATTAAAGTAAATAGTGTTCAGTGACTTAGCTGAAAGTTCTAGGAAGCCACTCGAATGGTGGCTGTTGTTTGCCCGTCAACATTCAAGACTGAAATCAATTTATCCATCGAGGAAACCATTCAAATATTGCATCGATTGGAAGAGTAAGTGCTGAGGATTAACACTATTAACAAATAAACTCTAGAATTTGTGCCCGAGATGATCCGGCCATCTCTCTGCAACACGATTTTGATTTCAATCTAAATCTCTCTTTTGCTGATGTTCTCAAAAATCCAACTTTCATTTGCCCAAGAGTACCGGTATGTTTGTTTAATTGTAAATTTAAACAAATCTTTTCTGGTACACTCAATTAAATACCAGCAAACCACTTTCCATTCGGCACTTCCTAGTTCTGAATTGATTGATCAGGCTATCGATTGATCAGGCTATCGATTGATCAGGCTATCGATTGATCAGGCTATCGATTGATCAGGCTATCGATTGATCAGGCTAGCGATTGATCAGGCTATCGATTGATCAGGCTATCGATTGATCAGGCTATCGTTCTCCAATCAGTTTTCATTTTTAGGCGGGTTTCAGTGCTGCAAGTGACTTCAATCCATTCGGCAATCGAATGGGTGCTCGATGTTTTGCGAGAATGGTCGTTTATTGTGCGGATTGGCTGAGAGCGACACCTGAAATCTGGGAAATGAAAGAGATTGATAGGGTGAGGTGAGAAAAGATGAAAGAGAAATGAGGCTTTGATTCACCTCAACCTTACATTTGCACTTAAAGAATTTCTGAAGACAAAGAAGAAGACATTCTGTTGAAACTTAGCAATTCTTAAAGTTGTAATTCTTAAAACGTTTAGCTGAGATTTTGTCTGCACACATGTGGAGTGTTGATTCCAATTCAACTCTACTATTACACGTACAAAGAGGGATATGACGGAATGTTGCAAGGGCTAGGAACGCATTTCTCTTGCGAATCGACACTCGGAGCTGGGTGAGTGCAAAAAGTAGACTTGTTAAAGATAATAAAGAAGTGAAGGAAATGATAGGAAAAGGTAGATTAAGGTTGTCTTTTTATTAAACTACAGATTGAACTATGCTAAAGGGATTGGGAAAAATGGACAAATGTGAAACTTAGCAATATAGCGATCTAGCAACATTACTAAAACTTGGCCAATTACTAGAAATTCTAGATTACTAGAAAGTAATCTAGAAAAGAACAAGCGCGTAATCCAGATAAGTCCAGTTAGGGAAATCTAGTTCAATAAGCTGACTGGATTAGGCTGAAAGGACTAAATTTCAGCTGACTCAGCATCGGCTGACTAACTGACTATAAGGAATTGATTGACTGAGCTCATGCTCATGCTTAACTCATGTCTAGCTCTTGTTATCATTGTGCAAAACTTAATTTTAGAATTCCCGATTTCCTTCGTTACACCACTCATCAATTCCACAATGACATTTCGCCGATGCTCAAAAAAGTGAAATTCTCCGACGATGAGTTCGTCGTTTGGAAGAATATGATCATTTTTAATTCGAGTTTGTTTTAAAAAAACTCAATTATTTAATTACCAAGAAAAACAGCTTTGGGTCTTTCTGATGAAAGTGCGACGATCGTGAGAAAAGCACGGAATCGATATCAAGGGATTTTGGTTCAAGTGGGTTTATAGGATTTTGAAATCCGTGGATGGCCGTGGATGGCCGGCGAATAACGCGAGAAATCGTAACCGCTCACGTTCACAAATATCATATACTCATAAAATTGTAGATTTGAAAGAAATCTCTACAAAAGACTGCCTATAACATTAAGAATTAGAATTAGATTTTAAAATGGTTTTAAAATGGTTTTAAAATGGTTTTAAAATGATTTTAAAATGAAAATGTTAGCTACTCCGCAAAACGTGTACTGAAGCGGAGGCGATCGCGAAAATGGATGTACTGATGAGAGTGCATCGATGGTTAGAGGTGGGTTGATCGACTGGAAAAAACGAAAAGGGAAACACACCATTTCTGGTGCACTCAAGCACTCAAGTTTGCAATTTTCTATTCAAATCAGATAGAAAAATGATAAAAAATAATGAATTGAGTGCACCAAAGAGTTTCCACTTTTGAGCACAAAGTACAAGAACACTTCGATTACACGATTCAGATATTAGGTTTTAGTGCATAAGTCTTTAAAATCCTTTTTCCAAACGCCTTTCAAAAGCAATGCCATTAACAACAAAATTTCTATTTAAACTATTAAAAAGCTTGATTGTTTCTCTGCAAAATGGTTTTAGAGAAATTCTTCAAAGTAATTGTTTTTGGGGATTTTCAAAGGCGAAAAGGTGACCACTGCTCCGATGCTGAAGTCCCAATTTAAACACTTTCTTCAATACAGACCTATTTTGGTGCCAAAGTAAAAAACGTTGCCATACAAAACTTTGAGCGCTTATAACTTTTGATAGAGTGCTATTTAGCAAAAACGCAAAGCAGATTCGGAATGAGCGTGGAATTCTGCGTTAATGCCATTTGGGCACCACATCCGTTTGGCATTCCCTTGTGAGTTGAGGCGAGCTTTGAGCTTTCTCTCAAAAGCGATTTTGTAGAGAAATGATTGATCTTTTTAATAATTTAAAACGCAACAAATTTGGTAAAGAATTCTTTTTTATGGAAAGAAAAGTTTGAAAAAAAGAAATTGTAAAGACTTATGCATGAACCTATTAAATGTAAAGTCACCGATTAATAGGCGATTTTCAATTTGGAACACTAGCGTAATCTTTACTTTAAATCACCGTTTTACTTAATTTTGATTCCATTGAAGGATCGAACAGTGGATCGAATGGGATAGAAATTAAATAAAAACGAATAAATCTGAAGAACTACGATAGAACTACGAACTACGTTTCTCAAATCGGAAACCAAATCGAAAACCTTTTAGAAAGTTCATTAATCAAGCGAAACAAATAAATAATCATTTGGATCAATCAAAGTATTCATTTGAATTGAATTCATTATTGAATTCATTTGAATTCATCAATAATCAATCAAAGTATTCATTTGAATGCTTAAAACTTGTAAACAAATGAAATCTTGTAAACAAATCTATTTTAGAACAATGCCACCCAAGCAGCAGTTTTCTTCGCGAAGATTTTCGCGATGGGTGGTGGAGGGGCAGGGTTGGAGGCGCCTCTTGTCGGCGATGTTTTCCTTGCTCGGGTTTAAGAAACAATTGTAAACATGAGTTTCATTTAAATTTAATTATAAAACAAACATTTGAGCTTTTCATTATTGTTACTTTTTAGTCAAAATTAACTTTTTGCTTTTTCCAAATAACTAAAGTGTTTTTTTGAAATTTTCCGCTTCTTTCTTCCTTTCTTCCTTTTTTTCTTTTGTTAGGAACTTGAAATTGAATTTATTTTTGATAAAATTTCCATTTAACCTATCAAAATAATATGTTTCCATTCGTGTTTTTTCAATTTGAAACTTTCAACTCGTACTCCTCGTGATCATCATCGATTTGAATGCCGATAAAAATCTAAAAATAAAAGTAAACTGACTTTTATCAATGATAGTTTAGATTAGATAGATTATATATGTTGTGTCCGATTTAGATTTCCGTCCGATTTAGTTTGAACCTATCGCGGACGTCCGATTTAGATTACAGTCTATATCGGACGTTCGATACAGATCGAACAATAATAAACGTGCTTAATATATGTTCTTAAGCGTTTTTTTGCAATTTTCTGCGCTTTTCAAAGAAATTTTATTGTCTTTTTTTTGAGAATTTTTTGTTTTCTTGTTTTCCTATTAAGAACGTAAGAATTCCAATTGATCCGGTTGATCGACCAAAAATTGGCCACCGAAATCTTTTGGGCGTTGTAACTGGAGGTTTGTTTCGATTAAATTCACTTAAATCATTTTTTAAAGCAATCATGGGCTGTTTATATTATTGTTCAATCTGTATAAGATTTAGATTGAATCTAAATCCGATATAGACTGTAATCTAAATCGGACGTCCGCGATAAGTTCAATCTAAATCGGACGGAAATCTAAATCGGACACAACATATATAAAAACTATGTTAATTTCCTTAACATTTATTATTAATAAGTGATATTTAGCTAACCTGATAAGCCCATCCTCCGACAATGGCGCCGATACAAGGAGCAACCAAGGGAATCCAGAAATACCAATCGTGATAACTGAAAAAGAGATATTATGTGGGAGAAAAGAGATTTTAAATAGAATTATTTATTAACTAGATTATTTGATTAGATTATTTGATACCTAAACGCTTCGATTCCATAAAGATAAGCGGCAAAGAGACGAGGCCCGAGATCTCTCGCTGGATTCAGCGGATAGCCAACGTTGAGGGAAAGGGAACAGCCTGGCATCGACAATTAGCTTATATCATCGATATTTATGGATTTTTGATAACATATCTCAATATTGAAAGAAAAATAAGCACAATTACGCAGACCATGTTCCAACTGGGTTCTCTGACCTATAGGTTCATGACCAGGCTTACAAAAGCCGGTTAAGCCGGGTTAATGTTAAGCCGGGCAAGGCTAGGACTCGACTTTTGCATTGATCCTGACCTTACCCAAGCTGAATTGACTCAAAAAACACTCGTTGAACAACCCTGGCCAACTACCTCTCACCAATCAGACTCACCAATCATCGTCAAAACAAGCCCAAAGAAGAGTGGCTGCAAAAAGACGGGCACCTGTAATGAAAAGCTCAATTCGTAAGATAAGATCTTGTAAAGTTGAATATCTTATCACATTACAGTATGCCAAAATTGAGCTATATATATGTTATGTCCGATTTAGACTCAATCTAAAACAGACGTCCGATTTAGATTTTGACTTCTGTAAAACATAAAACAACAACTGAATCTAAATCAGACGTCCGATTTAGGGTCAAAGTCAGATTTAGAAGGTCAAAGAATCAGATTTAGACTCTAAATCTAAATCGGACGTCTGTTTTAGATTGAGTCTAAATCGGACGAAAATCTAAATCGGACATAACATATATACATCGTAGCTATTTATAAAATTCAACCGTTTACGAATGAAATGTTTAAATTTCAAATTTCATCTGTATTCCAATTGAATTGATCCAATTTAATAGATCCAATTTTCTTTTCAATTTTCTGCAAACATGGCTCGATTCAACTAAGTTTACCATGTTTTCGATTTCAAATTATTTATGCAAAACGGAAAAGAAACGATTTCTCTTGAGAAGGGGCGGCTTCGATGGAGAAAATTGTTGTTGGTCGCTTCAAACTGATTTCGAGTGATTCGATTTGCGACTTTTATCTACTAACGCTATCTATTGAGCATGGACGTTAAAGATTAAGGAATAAAATCTAAGATAACTAACTATCTTTTACTGCAAAACTCCATTTTTGCTGCCAATCTGATATAAACCGTCCTCCGAAAACAGCATGACACCGAAAAGAGACGAGTGGCCGATTTTAGGTCGATCAACAATATCGCTTGGGAGACGAACAGTCATTCCAACTTCAACTGGCCCACTTATCCAACTTTAGCTTAGCCATTTCAACTTTAGGTTGTCGTTAGTAGATACGTTACGTTACGTAAGTAGATACGTAGACAACTAGAAACAGAAAGTTGAAACTGGAAATAGTCACCAACTCAAACTGTAATCATATTTTAAAGATTTGCAAAAAGATTAAGCCATTTTAATATTCTAAAGATTTAAAGACAAAAAGATCAAGCTAATTAATCTAGTTTTAATTTAATTTACCGTATTTTCTCTAATAGTAGTGCACCCTGATCGCCGTCTAAATTACTCGAAATCTCAAAAACCGCTTATCAGAACCTATCGATGTGGGGTCGGAAAATGTAGCTGACGATGAGATCTTGTGGGGGATTAAAGTGTTGAGCTTCTGCAAAAGCTTGGAAACCGTAGGCATCAACTCAGCTCGGAGCGGTGCTACTATTAGAGAAAATACAGTCGATTTAAACAATGGCATCAGGATTATAATAATGATACTTTATTTAAATGATAAAGTATTACTGTAGTAAAGTGACACTTAGAGTAGACATAATCCGACATTTAACCTTCATAGTCAGCCCAGCACAAGGTTGATTTCAAAATATGAACTCTATAAAAAGATAGAAAATACCGTATTTTCTTAATAGTAGTGCACCCTGATCGCCGTCTAAATTACTCGAAATCTCAAAAACCGCTTATCAGAACCTATCGATGCGGGGTCGGAAAATGTAGCTGACGATGAGATCTAGTGGGGGATTTGAGTGTTGAGCTTCTGCAAAAGCTTCGAAACCGTAAAATAGGCATCAACTCGGCTCGGCTCGGCGCGGTGCACTACGATTAGAGAACTTGATCTTCCCACGCGTGTCTACAGTTTAGTTACTAGTAAAAGTGTCCCAAAATGCGGTGCACTACTATTAGAGAAAATACGGTATACATTTTTCAAGCCTTTTAAATTATTTTCCCCTTCAATGACACTCTTCCCAAAATTTTTATGCTAATTTAAACCTGGGTAAACGGATTATTTCCTTTTCTGAAAACTTTCTGTTTCCAGTTTCAGTCAAACGTTCTTCAAGACTTGATACGCGTCAAGTTTGTTGAGATCATTCTAAAAAACGAATGAGTATGTAATAAAATGAATCATCAAATCAATCACTATCAAACAATAATTAAGAATAATCACAAAAAAGCAAAAAAAAAATGAATTAAACATGATTGATAAAAATGTTGTTGAGAAAATTAGCATTTAAACATTTCATTCGTAAATGGCTAGCCGATTAATAAACGGCCAAATTCATAAACGGCTACAAAATCCATATTTTGGCATCAATAACAAAACATCTTTTAAATTCTAAAAGCTAAATAATACCTTATTCCTTCGATCGATGCACAAACAGATACAAAAAGCAAGTACACCAGTTCCGGCAATCTAATGTATAAGTTACCGTAAATACTGTAATAGTACCCCACCGTAAGTGACCGTAAACAACCGTAAACAACCGTAAACATACCGTAAATACTGTAATAGTACCCCACCGCCCTCGTACAGTTGCGTAGTCGCAAAAGCAAAAGCAAAAGTTTTTTAGTATTTCATTTTTTTTCAAAGCGCTTGTACTTTCAAAAAATTCGTCTTTGGTATCAAAAAAATAGCCCTGAATTTCAGCTTTCATTTGATATTTAAACGAACACTGTAGCTTAAACGGGTGGCAAGAAAAACGCGTTTAAAGTTAAGCTACGCGACGCTCCGCACCGTCATTATGGGGGTGGGGTACTATTACAGTATTTACGGTAGGTTAACTTGGCTCTCCCCTAGCTCTGATTTAGCTTATAAGCACTGAGATCTAGCTGGATATACCTGCTCAGAAGCCAGCCTTCTCCTGGCTCAATTTGGCCCACACCACAAAAACACTGGATTGGCGTTGGCTCTCTGACCTAGACCTCTGACCTGCTTTAGAGCTGGCATCTCTTACAGACTCCATTGTATTGTAGCATTGAAGACTCTATTGTATTGTAGCAGAGCGCGCATTGTAGCATAAACCAGTGTCGAGAAAAACTCGTCCAAAGCTAGACTACGCAACACTCCACACCGTCATTATGGGGGTGGGGTACTATTACAGTATTTACGGTAAATATTTATTCCTATAGACAGTCAACTTTTAATTTTCCCACCTGATCAAAGAAAGCGGTACAATTGCTGACGTGAAGCTCGGGGAAAGACGTGAAACAAGTAGCTAAGCCAGGGAATGCAAGGCTTTTGAGTGAAGTGAAGTGTTTGAATTGATCTAAGATTGATTTACTGTAGTTTGGAGATATTTTTAACCTTGATACAAGTAATAAGGCCCAATTGATCCCACAATTGCTCCGGAAAGCTGAGCGATAATGAATGGAAATAGATGAGAATGAGGTAACTTTTCAAGAGTCACCATCAATAAAGAGATCGCTGGGTTGAGGTGACCGCCTGGCATTTGAAAGTACCATAAATTTGTTTATTGGAAAGGCTCGTAGGTTTAGAAATACAATAAGATACAATACAATAAGATAACATTTTAATACAGTAACTTTGAAGTGTCCCAAAAGTCTTTGATCTCTGTCTTTGATCTTTGGGTCTTTGATTGACAAAGCTGTTTGTATAAAATGAGCTTAATTTGAGACTAGTTTGTCTACAGTTTCTCCTTCCACTTACCCGATGTCTGATACGTTGCTAGAGCTGAGAAAGTCAACGCGAGACCCCAGCCGAAATTGACATGAAACCACGAATTGATCACCCCATTCGATAAGATGAATTGCATACTCACCGAGAGACCAAGGAACTGTATTCAAAAGTACAGAGTGACCCGCAAATTATTCGGCAGTTTTTGACCTATATCTTGGCAGTAACTGTAGCTATAGAAACGGTTTAATTCCTTTTTATTAGGTTGAGAAAAAAGTTCTGATTCAGCTGGGGAAAATTCAATTTTTCCAGATGTATTTGAAAGAAAAAGATCTTCAAAGTTTTGATCCGCTATTGCTGGAAACGGAAACTTTTAACAAGAGATGCCTTGAAAGAGATTCGATCCGACCCGACCCGATCCGATCCGATCCGATCCGACCTGACCTGACCCGACCTGATCCGATCCGATCCAATCCGACCCGATGCCCTTGTCTATTATCCAAATGTTACTCTTAAAGCTTAAACTCATCAAAAAAGCAAGAAAATCGATTTCAGTTCGAAAATGAACTAGAAAGAGCTTGAAAAATGCGTGCCAATGGTTGTTCTAAACGCATCTTCCAAGTAATAATAAAAAGTAATTAATAAAAATCTCAAAAGAATCCTACAATTTGTATAAAGAAATTTTCCTTAGAAAATTATCTCAATTTTCATATTAAAAAAGAATTAAACCGGTTCGCAAAGCTACAGCGAAGATCTAACACAAAAAGCCGATAATTTGCGAGTCGATACTTTGCGGCCAGCGCTGAAATGAGAAATAAAAGAAAACAAGCAATTCCTTGTATCACAAGCTTTGAAATTTGTCTTGTTTTAAAGCTTGCACTCACCAAGAGCATTGCTGTTCCCAAAAACTCGGACAAACAATTCCTTGCTAATTTGCTTTTCAGACGAAAAATCGATCGAACCTTGGCGATTCTCAATGAAGATTTTCGCATTTCTAAAAGGCAAAAAGAAAAGATATTGAGAAAAAGAGCTATTGATAAGGTAGATATCAATTTTAAATTACTTCCAAGGCTAACTGAATTGTTAGAAAGTTACTTTGAATAAGCGGTGCCGCTTGCGGGTGTGAGGACATTGTTTATTTTGGCAAAATATTGATATTGATTTGTTTATCAAAATCTGTTGACTGTTGAATGTTGGATGTTGAATAGTAGACTGAAAATGAAAACAGAAAGTTTTCAGAAAAGGAAATAATCCGTTTACCCAGCTTTAAATTAGCATAAAATTTTTGGGAAGGGTGTCATTGAAGGGGAAAATAATTTAAAAGGCTTGAAAAATGTATACCGTATTTTCTCTAATAGTAGTGCACCGCGCCGAGCCGAGTTGATGCCTATTTTACGGTTCCCAAGCTTTCACAGAAGCTCAACACTCTAATCCTCCACTAGATCTCATCGTCAGCTACATTTTCCGACCCCGCATCGATAGGTTCTGATAAGTGGTTCTCGAGATTTCGAGGAATTTAGGCGACGCTTAGGATGCACTACTATTAGAGAAAATACGGTAAGCATCAAAGCTAAGTTGGAACAGTTGTGCGCCAACCATAGCCGTTAAGTGGTTTTTGAGATTTCGTCCAATTTAGGCAAGGTATTTTGTAGAAAGTTCTCAGTAATTTTGTACTCGTTTTCAAGAGGTGATTCAGGGCTATCAAATGACTATAATAATTTAGTTTTTCGTTTAACTTACACTAAATTATCAGTAAAACAGTTAACGGCTATGTGACAGTGTTCAAAATAAAGTTTTGGTTGATTTAACAGTGAGCAATCGGTAAATGCTAAACGCTTTCCAACTTTGTTCAAAGTTTTCACAAAGGCTCAACACTCAAATCCCCCACTAGGTCTCATTGTCAGCTAGATTTTCCGATCCCACATCGATAGGTTCTGATAAGCGGTTCTCGAGATTTCGAGGAATTTAGGTTGTCCTGGATGCACTACTATTAGAGAGAATACGGCATTCTGTATTTTCTCTAATTGTAGTGCCCTTTCCCCCTCCCCCCGGCCGAGCCAGATGATTATTTTACAGTTCCCAAGCTTTCACAGAAGCTCAACACTCAAATCCCCCACTAGGTCTCATTGTCAGCTAGATTTTCCGATCGCACATCGATAGATTCTGATAAGCGGTTCTCGAGAATTCGAGGAATTTAGACGACGCTCAGGGTGCACTACTATTAGAGAAAATACAGTAAATTAAATTAAAACTAGATTAATTAGCTTGATCTTTTTGTCTTTAAATCTTTAGAATTTAAAGATTTCTATATTAAATTGGCTTAATCTTTTTGCAAATCTTAAAAATATGATTACATTTCGTGAATTACTCTAGCTACAGTATTACACTAAGTACTACAGGACTAAAACTTTCAATAGTTATTTCATTTTTATGAAAATGATCTCTTTTCTATACTCAGCTGATTCAAAAGAGTGAAAGCCAAATCCATCTTTCCCTTTCTTTCATTTATTCCAATTTTGGGAAAGTGAATCAAAAAGAAACGCGTCTTTTATGAGATCTCATTGGATAAACTGGATTTTTTTTTCTTTCGTCTATCATTCCAGCCTTTTTAAACTATTTGTTCAATCAATTTTATCGTTAAATATTTTATTCGATATTCAAAACTTTCATTTAAGATTCTTGATCTCTCGTGATGCCAATTATTGTCACAATTGGAGTGGCTCCAACAGCTCTTGGAGCATGCTATCGCTTGAATGAATTAAAGGAAAATGGAGCTAAAGAAGCGCAAAATTTTGAGATTATCTGTCTTGAACAGGTGACTAAACAATCCTAATTAATCATTTTTAATCGATTCATTAAAAGTTTTTTTTAATAGTCTCTTTGATCTTTAAAAGCTGTGTTTTAAAAAGGACTTATTCTTATATAAAGGAAAATTAAACCACACTATAAGTACTCATTGAAAAGTTGTTATAACCATGAGCTTCTCGCCTATTAAGTCTATTTTCGGTTAAAATTTGAGTAACTAAACCAGCCTTAAAAAGAATTTCTGTTCAAAATGAATCCTAGTTTCTGATGAAGGACAAGAATTTACATATCCTGTCCGAGTCATAGTCTAGAATTGGATTATCAGACATTGGATACGCGCACCGACCCTTTTCCCATGGGCAATCTAACTTTGAGCTCTAATTTCTTGGTGTTGAGCTATTCAATTTAAATTTTCTTGGTATCTTTGGATGCGCCAAAGCTTTCTCTGTCGATTGGTACAAAAACTATTTACATTGGACAGCTTAACACCAAGAAGTTTGAGCTCAAATTTAGATTGCCAATGGCGAAGGGTCTGGACACGTATAAAAGGTCCGTCGCCCCGCCCCTTTTCCCGTTGGCAATCTGACTTTGAACTCAAATATCTTGGTGTCGGGTTGTTCAATTTTAATAGTATTTGTATCAATCGATAGAGAAAGACTTGGCGTATCCAATGATACCAAGAAGATTCTAATTGAACAACCCGACACCAAGATATTTGAGCTCAAAGTTGAATTGCCAATGGCAAAGGGGCGGGGTGCGTATCAAATGTCTAGAATTAAGCTATCTGTGGTGAATGTGTTACTAAACTTGTTCGAAATCCAGGAAGCGATCCCTGGTGGTCTCTCATGTACCGCCGTTGACGAGATGGGATTTCTCTGGGACATGGGTGGACATGTCACTTTCAGCAATCATCAATATTACAAGACAGCCACCCGGTGGGCGGTCGAGGAATGGAATGAGATCGGGAGGAATTGCAAGGTTTGTGGAATTCGTCTTGCAATCATTGTCTATTCATTTTTAGGTCGACATGAGTCCTTTATGGAACGAGCCGGGTATCCACCTTGTTCCCTATCCAGCTCAATTCGCTGTACCCCTTTTCCCGAATGAACATAAAGAGAAATGTTTACGAGATTTGAGAGAAAGATACAGTGATCAAGTGAGTTGATGAGTTGATACAGTATTCTAAGACAATAAGCCAGTAAAAAATAGCACTTACACTACTGGACAATGAAATATGATATTTGAAAAAAGATTGTCACTTTCGCGCCTCTGTAACTCCCTTGTCTTTGCCGTATTTCTAAATATTAATATTACCATTGTGTAGCCCTTGAAAAGAGCTTTCAGAAAATGTGTAACACTAATAGTTTAAACTCAAAGACAAGGGAGTTACAGACGCGCGAAAGTGACGATCGTTTTTCAAATATCATATTTCATTGTCCAGTACTGTAGCTTGTCAAAAATTGTCTTTTTCCTTGTACTTTACTCAATACAGATTGAATTTGCTTCTTTTAGAGAATTCTATTCATTCTATAGTTAGTTGAATACTTTTAGTTGTGATATTGTGCTAAAACAGTAGAATATCTTTAAGTTCAGAACGGAAAACTCTCGAAGAATGCCACCTTTGAGGAGTGGGTGTTGAGGAATTTTGGACCAGCGATGAATGAGGCTTTCTTTATCCCATACACAATCAAGGTGAGTATTTGAAAGTGATCGTAAATTGGCAGCTAAAAAAAACATTTCTCAATTTCAGGTTTGGACCCTGGGAGTCGAAGAAATGTCGTCGAATTGGGTGGGTGAACGAGTGGCAAAATTGCCGAAAGAGCGATTAGAGGAGCTTTGTGCGATGAGCGAAGATGAAGTTGTGGTGAGTGACGGGGGAGACTTGAGACAAAATATCGTATTCTCTCTAATAATAGTGCACTCTTTAATAGTAGTGCACTCTCTAAGAGTATTGCGGTCCGAGAGGGGGTTGAAAAAAATAGTAGTGCGCACTACTATTAGAGAGAATACGGTAATCAAAGTTTATAAAGAAATTTGATTAATCAACTAGACATTCTTGATTTAATCGACGATAAAGTAAAGCTCTAGCTGTGGTAAACCCATTGTAGTCAGGGTTGTTTCAAAGGGACTCAGCCAGAGCCTAGCTTATGATCGGCTGGTCTTGCTTGGACTGGGCTTTACTTTACAGGATGCGTCATAATTAATGATACAAGAAAAATGGTTGCTCTTTCGGCAATTTCGCCACTCGTTCACCCACTCAATTCGACGACATTTCTTCGACTCCCAGGGTCCAAACTTGAACTTGAGAAATGTTTTTTTAGCTGCCAGTTTACCATCACTTCGAAATACTCACCTTGATTGTGTACCGGATAAGCCTCATTCAAAGAAAGCCTCATTCATCGCTGGCCAAACATCATTTTTTTTTTCAAAGAAGCTCAACTGAAAACAGTTTTATTTTTAAGAACTAATTGATAAAAACATAAAAATCAACAACTATTCAATATGGCCTCCATCCGCGGTAACACAGGCTTGAAGTCGCTTGAGCAAGTTGTCCACATTGGCTAAATAGGCTAAATCGAGATCTTCCCATGCTTTGATCAAGGTTTTCTTGAGCGAATCGACAGTTTTGTGCGGCTTTGCACAAGCTTTGGCTTCAAACACTGATCAAACACTGTAATCAAGTGAATTCAAGTCTGTGGACATCGATGGCCACTCATTAAAATTGATGCTACACCAATCCTGCATCCACTTTGGAGCACCATCCTGTTGATAGGTCTAAATTTTTGACCAAAGTAATTATTGGTCCAGGGTAAAACTTTCTTTTTCAAGAGATCCAGATAATTGTTGGCATTAATCTTGATGCCGACAAGATGAAAAGGCCAAAACTGGTCTTGTTTTTGACTGGGCCAAGACTGGCCAAGACAAGACAAGGCCAAAACTGGTCTTGTTTTTGACCTAAACCTGGCTTGGCTTCTAGAACCTAGAGCCACTCTGGAACATTCTTATCTGTAACAAATCCATTTTATGAACTTTTCCAGTATTTGATGCATTTATCAAGTCGAAAAATCACTTTCTAAGCCAAAAATTTAAGAATGCCGATTTTGGTTGGGGACCGAACGCTCTATTCTCTTTCCCGAAACGCGGTGGCACGGGGAATGTCTGGAAGAGTATGGCCACGAAACTTCCCCAGAAATTTTTCAAATACAAATCAAAAGTTAGTTTGAAAATTTCAATATATTCAATTTTCATTTTAGGTTACTAAAGTTGACTACGAGAATCATCAACTAATTTACGAGGATCTGAAAAATGGGGAGAACAAAACGATCAAGTACGATTACCTCCTCAGCACATCGCCTATCGATATTTTGGTGGAAGAGACTCAAATCACTAGGCCATTGAATATCAAAAGGAATAAGGTAAAACTGAAACTGAATATCAAAAGGAATAAGAAATAAAGCACGCTTTTTAGGTTTTTGTCATTGGGGTTGGCTTGAAAAAGCCGATTACACCTTTTTTGGAGAACATGACCTGGTTGTATTTTCCCGATTCAGCTGTTCCGTTCTTTCGGGTCACTGTGTTGAGTCGATATGGAGAAGTTTTTAAAAAAGAAACATTACTCTTTGAAAGCTTTAATTTCTAGATGACACCGAATGGAGAAAAATATTGGTCATTGCTGGTTGAGTGCGCGAGGAAACCAGAGGATACAGTAAGTCGGAGAAATTGACCAGGAATATTAAGAATATGAGAAAATTACCATATGATTTGTTTGATACAGGAATATACCATACTGTACCAATATTGATATTATTAGGTTGGCAACTTAATAATGACGCGTCACTACTTAACATGTTTTTTGTAATTTCAAGCGCCGTTTCTTCCCTCTTTTTGCATATATACAAAGTAAAAGATATCTGCATAAATAACATTTAGTGCTGCAAATTTCATCATTCGCTTTTTGGCAAAAAATGGAGGACAAAAAATTCCGTATTCGAGCTGCATTGTTCTACGATTTTAAACAAGGAAAATCACCAGCTGAATCTCATCGCACGATCATCACTGTTTTTGGGGAGGAAAGTATACACATTCGGCAATGTCAACGATGGTTTCAAAGATTCCAAGGCGGCGATGAAAGCCTCGTAGACGAGCCACACCAAGGACATCCTCCAGAAGTGGTCGACGATGACTTGCTCGCCTTAATTGAAGATTGCCCAACACTCACCGTTCGTGAGTTGGCAGAAATATTTGAAGTATCCCATACGACAATCAAAAACTATTTACACAAACTTGGGAAAAGAATCGAGTTGGAAAATGGGTTCCTCACGAACTGACCCAAAGCAACAAAATGTCGCCTCAATTTTGCTACAAAAATGTAAATCAAACGACTTTTTTCACAGGGTTTTGACTTCTGACGAAACGTGGATCAACTACGAGAACGTTAAACGCAAAAATCAATGGCTATCTGCTGGGCAGACCCCTTAAACCACTCCCAAACCTGATATCCATGGGAAGAAGATAATGCTCTGTTGCTGGTGGAACTTCAAGGGATTGGTGCATTGTGAAGTGCTGAAACCTGGCCAAACCGTCGATGCTGATCTTTATTCGAAGCAATTAATGAGAGTTAACGAGTCTTTGAAGAAATTGGGGCTCAAACCGGAGAGAGTCAGATTTTTACACGACAACGCAAAACTTCACACTGCAAAGATCACTTATAAGAAAATCGAGGAACTTGGCTGGAAAGTTTTGCCCCACGCGTCTTATTCACCTGATCTGGCTCCTTCAGATTACTTTTTGTTTCGGTCGCTGAAGCACTTTTTGGAGGGAGAAAAGTTCGATGATCATGCTCAGGTCATAAAAGCAGTGAATGACTACTTCGCCTCAAAAACTCCCAAGTTCTTCGAGGATGGGATCCGGGATTTGCGCAGAAGATGGGAAGAAGTCATAGATACTAATGGAGAATACGTTTCGAATTGAAAGCTCTTCTTTTGTGTTTTTTTGAAATAAATGATTTGTTACATAAACGCGTCATTATTAAGTTGCCAACCTAATACAATGAAAATGCACTGTCAAAGCTCCATTCATCTTGAGCGCAGTAAAATACGAGCAGCTGATTTCGTCACTTTATACATGGTCGCGTCCGTTTCCTTCCTATTTGCGTTGCTATTTTGCAATTATTCGCGTCGCATTTTTCGTCCTTTTTCTCCCTTCCCAAAATTATTTTTTTGCCTTCTTTCTGGGGGGACTTTGTTGTTTCATTTTTGATGCGCATGCTGTTTTTGTAATGGATATTGTTGCATTTCGGTTTTGTACTAATAAACAGTAACGTTATAAATTCCCTTTACTTTATGCTACCCTTCAGGTTTTAAATCCTGTTTAGATGACTGGTTTAACATTGTAGAGAGACTGTTTTACTAACATTTGTGTCACCATCGACGTAGTATCAATCCGATCTACAGATCGGAGAGTATTAATTCTCAAGAGTATTAATCTTATGTTGGATACTACGTGTTCTTGTTACGTTGTAAGCGCTTTTGGGGAAACCCTTTTAACCTTTTGTGCTATTCGACCATTCTTAAGCAGAATCATCCTCGTTGATAAGGTTAAAGCGGGTCGCACCCCAAACTATATAAAAAAGCAGTGTCTGTCTGTACGAGCATTTTCTCCCCCATTTTTTGACCAATCAAGCTAAAACTTTTTTAGAATAGATTGTAATTGTGGAATTAAAATAAAAAATTCGAAATTAAGTGGCAGTACGCGAGCTCGAACCCTGAGATAAACTGAGATAAGCGTGGGCTGTAGATAAGCGCGCTCCTGACTGCGCCACGGTGACAGGAGATTCGACTAGAAAAACCCGCCATTAGATGGGTTTTTCGACTGGTTTCGGCTGGTTTTTTTCAGCTGGTTTTTACATAAAGCTGCCCTTGTCTTACGGTAAACTTTAGTTTTACATTCATAAATTTTACCGTAACCTGATAATGAGTAAGATTGTCTATGAAATACAAAATCTAAAGCTCATAATCAGTTACGATTCAGACTGCCAGCGAAGAAGAGATCAAAAAAGCCACCGTTGCTGGCCTTGTGAGAAAAGGAATGATCGAAGAAGGAAACATTGTCTCACTTTGGTCGACCACATTAAACTACGGATATCCCATTCCAACTCCGCAAGTGAATCGAGATTTCGTTGTCAAAACTCATTTCCAATGCAATTTCAGCGAGATGAAGAGCTAGCTCGAGCACATCGAGAACTGGAGAAATGGTCGATCTATTCTCGAGGCAGATTTGGCGGATGGAAATATGAAGTGAGCAATCAGGATCACTGCTTTTTGCAGGTTTGCTTGAAATATGTCAAAATTTTCTAATTCTCACACAAATTCTAAAGAAAGTGATCACTTTTGCATGAGCTAAATGAATCTGATTGAACTTACTTGCTAAGTTCAATCAGATTCATTTAGCTCAATCAGATTTCATCCGAAACTCATTTCTATTCACTTCATTTTGTAAATTTGATTGAAATTACTTGCGAATTTCCGTTTCAGGGTAAAGAATTCATCGATCGAATCGTTTTGGGTGAACCCGAGCGAATGTACAAAACGTGTGTTGATGAGTTTGCAGAAGAATAAATTTGGAATTTATAACCGAACCGACACATTGGAAATAGCGACTCTATGAGCTTTCAACTGATTGCATCATGTCAAAAGCAAAAATTAAATGAGATTCCCTTGTTACAAAGCCACATACCGTTCTACTATATATAAAAGAGTCTGTCTGTTTGTCTGTGAAAGATCGAAACAGACTTTCCCCGCTGTTCTTTCCCCGCTGTTTTGTTTTTTCCTCCGCATCCAGTGGGCCGTTTCAAATGACTTATAGTTCATTTGGCTTAGAATTCCATGTAGTTGTGCACAATGTTTTTAAATTTCTAAAAAAACCAAAAGTGCCGACGCGGGCGGGAGTCGAACTCGCGTCGTGTGGGCTAGAGACAAATGCGCTCGCACTGCGCCAGAGCCTGGCCCGAGTGGTTAACGCGTGAGTCTCCCAAACGAACGGAAGAGAGAGGTCGCGAGTTCGACTCCTCTCTCTGCCAATTCTTTTGATTTTTACTACAAAAATTTTATTTGCTGGTACTCTAATAGAAGCCCGTCTATAGGAGCGTCACGTAGTCTAAGAACTCAAAGAAACACTCAAAGAACCGCGCATTTATCGAAAAAACTATAATAGACAAAAAACTATGATAAACTATGGCAAAACTAAATCCCTTTTAGGCTTTGCTTAACTTACTTAATCTTGTTCTCATTCGATTAGGAATCAAACTGTGATTCCTAATCGAATTTCTACTGATAAAATTAAGTATTGAGTTGGGGAGAATGAGTCGGCGCCGAAATTTAAAGAAACTTTTTGCACCCATAAAACCTTCTTTAAATACACGTTTTGTTTCATCAAAATGGTCATTTCTTTACAAAATGGCTTTTGAGAGATTCCACAAAGCTTTTCTTTTTTGGGATTTTATGGATTCCCAAACACAGCTAATCAAAATGACAAAAAGTCCGACTCATTGCTTGAACAGTTTCTTCCACATAAACCTCCTTTGGTGTTTATATAAAAAGATAGAGCACACTCAATTACATAAGTTACCAAATTTTCAGGAAGATCCCTCCAACCGTTTACTCTAGATGACAGTTTATCGATTTTGTGAAAAAATGATCCTTTGTTGAGTTGAGGCGCTGTTTGAGTTCTCTTTTAAATATTATTTTGTAGAGAATTAGTTACCCTTCTACGGATATCAAACGCATATCATTTGACAAAGTCTGCTAGAAGTTTTAGAAATTTCTTTGATTTTCGGCGCCGACTCATTCTCCCCAACCCAATAGAAAGAATGAAATCTGAAGGGGAGTCTAGTCTGAATTTTTGAGTTGAATTTTGAGGACTAGACTCTGTGAGCTTTCGAAAAACCCTTGCATAACATTGTTGTTTTGTCTGGGAGTGTTTGTGGGGCATTGCTTTTGCGTGTCTTTTCCAATTTCTTTTTTTTTTTTTTTTTGCGAAAGATCGACTTGTTTACCACAATTCCCTTTCCCTTTTTTGCCCCTTTTCCACCTCCATTTCTCTCTTTCCAAATGGCAGAAAGTGCAGCAAAAAAAGCGTTTTTTCGACGAGTGCAAAAAGAGTTTTGTCGAATTGAATTGGGTCTGAACACTCTCGATAACTCGTTTTTTCCGGAAAAATCGATTTACTGAATATTCGATAACAAGCTGAACACATTGCCAATTTCGAAGTTTTTTTCGTTTTTCGAAAGAAGCCGATTTTTCACTCATTTTTCCACTTTGCCTAAAGATTTTTACATGATGAATTTTTTGTGAAATGGCTCTGATCGCGTTGTTGGCCACTCCACGGGAGCTCGATTCAGAGGTAAGAACCAGAATTTTCAAAATTAAAATTAAACTTTAAAATCTAGTACTTATTCGATTTTTAAGTTTCCCAAACCATAGGAAAACTTTTTTTTTTACTAGGATTAACCCTGATTTACATTTCCTTGCAGATTCAGACCGAACTTTTGAAAAGATTAGGTTCCTGAGCAGATTTTTATAAGGAAACTATCTGACTATGAGAATTTTGGTTGCGTGTTAAAGGGTGAAATTCACAAAATTTCTTTTAAAACCTATCCAAAGCGTTTAAAAAATAGATTTAAACCGAAAACCCTAAAAATTACGGCAAATTTATCATTGAAAACAAGGATGAATCAAAAAAAGCCTCGATTCATGCTATTTATTTGTGGTCTTCTATTTTTGAGGACAAAGTCGAAATAGTGGATGGAAACGAGAGGGGAAAAAGAGTGAAACGTTTGCATCAGAAAAACGACGAAAAGAATACGCTTCTTTTGCCAATTCAGAAGACATTTTGTTGTTTTCTGAGCTCCGAAACCCCGATATTTTTAAGGCTGGACCACTCTGAAAACATTTTTTGTTCTAACAAGTACAAAACTTTGCTATTCTAACATTTTTGAAGCAAATTTGTTTCAAGTTCTCAATTTCTCATGCCTGAAGAAGAGGTAAATTTCCATTTAAACAAAAATTGGCCTATAAATCTTAAATTAAACGTCGTAAAGGAAAATTTTACCGATTAACTGAATATCTTTTTCGGTTGAAGCAATTATAAAATCTCGCCAAAATTTGAAATTTAAATAAAATTTTTAATTTTACGCATGTATCGCTGGCTTTTTAAGAGAAAGGTACGTTAAAAAACAAAATTTCCCAAAAGAATCTCATGTTTGGGCGGTTTCTTACAAAAATTTGGTCATACTCTTGCCAAATGTTTGTCTACTACATCTGGAGAAAGGTTATTTTTAAAGAGTTGGCATTTCAAAGCAGTCTTTTGATGTTTTAAACTTTAGTATGACGACGCGTCGCGAAACAACGACGAAGTGAATGGATCGCTTTCACATGAAGGATCAAAAGAAAAGGTTTTTTTCTGGTTTATGATTGGGTTTTGGCTAAAATCTTTAAAAGTTTAAACCTTGAGGCTCGCTGGAAACGGTTTTAGCTGTTTCAATTGTAAAATTGTATATTTAAGCTAGACAACAATGGCCGAATCCACTCGATTGATGACATGATGAAGTTGGAGGAAAACGGGGTAAATTTTCTTAATGTTAGACACTTTTGTCGAAGTTAGCGGTAAATCTGAGAGTATTTGAGTGAATGCAATGTTAAAGAGCTTTGAGTGTACAACTTTGGATCTTTACTGAATTTTTGCTCTAGTATTTTATTGGAACAAGCTCGAGAAGTGTGTTCAGGAATTTTTGTAAGAGAACTTGCCTATTTTGTGTTTAAAAATCTAATAATTAGCGCAGTTCTCAAAGCCTAAACTAGTGGTAGCGCTTATTTTTTGGTAAATTTGTAATTTAGGGAGCTAGTTCCGAGACGGAGAGTGAAACAAGTGATGTGGCTACGTTTTCTGATGGCGGAACAGGGTGTGTGTTTGCGTTTTGAGGAGTAACTGATTTTTGAACATTGAAAACTTTGGTTTTAGCTTATGGACTCAATTTGGACAAATGTTCTGGACGCAGCCGTCTAGAAGAAAGTCGTCGTTTGTTACAGGTAAACCATATTTGGATAAACTCGTTCTTATTGTAATTGTAGTAAAGGAAGTACTTCTAAAGTTTAACATGGTTTTCTTCTAGGTCTCGATTCATGGGTACCAGAAGATTGTGAGAAAGTTCTCGCGTTTCCCTGCAATACCATCAACAAATACACGAAAGTTTACCCAATTTGTAAGTTTTTGGTGTTTCTCTCGCGAAAATTAGCTGATAAATCATGCATTTAGACTCCAACTCAACAAAAGACAGCTCATTCAGCGTTTTGGTGGACGCTACACCGCTCGCGAAGTCCAAACAAAAAGCGGCAGTCAATCACTTGGTAAATTCAAATTATTAAATTGCCATATCATTTGTTTGAGGTTTTAACAATTCATCCAAATGCTGGCCCAAACAAGAACCGCGAATTCAGCCTCAGTCTCTACAGAAGTCGAAAGGTATAGAAAATTTATTGCTCAGGGAAATTTCCCAATCTTTTGTAACTGACAATTAAAACAATAAAAATGATTGCCCAAATAATCAAAAAGGAAGAGATCACGATGATTGATGGGTAGCTATAACTTGCGCCAAAGATAATTTGAGAGATGTTGAGAATGGCGAGAAAGATCTAAAAATGAAGCGATTTTAGTTTTGAGTTCCTTAACTGACCATGGCTCTGATGTAAAGTCGAATCCTTTGAAATTGTCTTTCTTTATAGACGATATAAAGAGCTCCTGCTGAGGCCAGTGTGATAAAAATGATGCTCAAGAAGCATTTGATCATCAAAACAGTGACCAGGGTTCGTTTACCCTTTGAGCTAAAAGATGTTCAATAGTCTTTATTACTTTATGTCTATCAACCTGTCCGGATCATTATAGACATCATTTCTGGTTGCAATCACAAAGCTCACATTGAGAACATCCAAGATTAACAAAATTATGGATGATATTGTTAAAATAAGCTGAATTTTCTATCTTGCCAAGCAAAAAATTTTAGAATTTACCTTTGCGTGTCCACAAAACGGAAACCTATCTAGACCATACATTTATATTTAAAGTGGAATATAAAATAAAATAAACGAGCTTGATCTCGAAAACAAAGTGACTAAAATGGCCCACTCGTTGCTTGGGTAAATAAAATTCGCAGAAAATTCGATATGACAGTCAATAAAGGGAGACCAAAAGGTTTTCCGCTTGGAAAAGAGATCTAGAAAAGCTATTTATATTTGTGCAAAGGCTCACTTAAAAGAAACTGGTGATAAGTGTGGGACTGAGTTTTGATCTTTTGGTGAAGAAGAAATTCAGTGACTCAATGATTCAGCAAAAAGCCTTGAACTACGAGCATTGAACAGATAGTGACTGAATTGGGAATTTTGATGTTTGATGGAAGTTTTCGGAAGCTCTTTTCCTTTTAGGGCTGATTTTATGAAATATGTCCCCAATTTGTGATTTATTTGTGACACAAAGTTAGTTAAAAGTTCAACAGCTCAAGCTGTCTAAACATAAACCGTGAAAAATTGAATGAATTTGTGTCTTTAAACTTTTAAAACTTTAATACAGTTTTTAATTCCAGGTAACTGATGTGGTTGCGTTGTGTGAAAGATGTCGAGAGTGTCGCAAGCTGTTCCGCTATTTCCCGAGAGGAAAAGGCAAATTTGGTGTTAAATGCTAAAATAGTTTACATTTAGAAAATACGATAGAGTATTTTGTCAATTTACTCAAGTGCTTACGAACTCATCTTTTGTGGAAAGTTCAACACGTTGCTGCTATGATCAGATGCAAGGATTTCTTTATCGATCGCGCCGATAAAGAAACGAAAAAGTATATTTCTAGATGAGTGAGAACTAGATAATTTTTAGATCTTTATCTCAACTTTGTTGCCCTGAAGGACTTACGCCGTTGATGATTGCTATTCAACAAAATGACGAGGAAATGGTATGAGGAACTTCAGAGTTTTAGTCATTTGCTTTAGGTTACGTTACTGGTCTCACTTGGTGTCGATTTGATGCAAACGACTGTTGAGGCGAATAATGTTCTTCATTTGGCTGCTTGTACGACACCATCAATTCTAAATGTTGGACGTTCAAGCACTTTATTATCTAGTTGTTTTTAGATTTTATGGAACGCACTTGAACCCGAGCAAAAAAGAATTCTTCTGAATCATCTCAATCACGATGGGGCAAGTCCACAATATGTGGCCTTTTCTTCGATGAACGCTCGATGTTTGAGTAGTTTAGTGAGGTTGGTTTTTAGAGATTTTTGCTAAAGATTTACATTATCCAAACACTTAATTTCAGCTATTCGAAGCAAATCGATCCACACGCTGAGCCAGAAAATCCGCTCATCTCCGCGATGAAATCTTCGAAAACAACTATTGTGTTGGTTAATTGAAACTTTTCATTAATAATTCTTTTAGGCAGCTTGAAGCGATTCTCAAGCAAAATCCGGATGCGTTGGAAAAGAAAGATGCGCTCACGGGTAACTCGGTTCTGCACGCTGTTGCGCATAAAAGACCGCTGAGTGCTCTGATTGAAGTGATGGTAAGTTTGAGCACCAATTAAAATTATTAGTTGAGAGCAGCGCCACGTTTAAGATGAGAAGTACAGCATTTTACTTTAGGGCAGCAAGTTGGACGTAAATGTTCGAAATAACCAACAACAAACACCACTTCATGTTTATGTGCACAAGAATCATCTCTCACTCGTCTTCACCATTCTTGGAGCAGAAGTTTGCTTGTTTTATTTTACTAAAATCTATTCGTTGCAGGTTGATATCAATGCGCCGGATGAAGATGGAAATACACCAATGCACGTTGCCGTTTCGGTCTTTGAAATATTTATTCTAGCAATTCATCAAATTTAGAACTTGAATTTGCAAATCGTGAGAACGCTACTTTGTTTTGGAGCCAATCCAAACATGAAAAATCGCTACGACGAAACACCACGACATTTGGCAGCGAAAAATAAAGACGAGTGAGCGTCTACAATTTTAGAAAAACATCTGAACGCTTTTAGACCCGGTGCCATTGATATTCTCCGCTCATTGATTATGTTTGGAGCAAAAAGCTGCCCAATTGACAAATTGGGGTCTGTAATTTTAAAAAACTTTGGTATACGTTAAATTTTAGATGCACCGTTGCCTGTGTTCACAAGATCAACTATATCTCCGAGAAAATGAGCCCTACAGGCAGCAATGCAGGTAAAAAAATTGATTTAGAACCTTATAATTATTTTAATTACGACTTTGTAATTGTTTTCAACTTTCAGCACTACAAGACAGTTCCGCCGAAGTCGAGAAAGATGTTGAGAATGCCAAAGTGCGAGCGTAAGTTTTGTTTTAAAAGTTATCTTGCATTTGTTACAGTTTTAAATTTGCATTTTAGTGATGCTGCAACGGGAGCCTACGAATTTGAAATTGATCCAGACACGCATGACATCAATTACGCCTATGTTGAACCGAATCCGGCTAGAAAGTTTCCACAAGAGGTTATTTCATTTTTTTGTATAGACAATTTGGTTCTTAAGGAAGCAATGCGCCATGTTAAGCAAATGTTAGAGAAAATAGTGAAAGAGAAGGAAAAATCGAACATTATATCAATTTTGTCATGTGATGGAGGTGGAATGAAAGGAATTGTTATGGTTCAGGTGAGACGGTAGAATGTTTAATTTTTGTAAGCTTTGTGCTTTTAGATATTGATAATTCTTCAACGATATCTTGACTCTCCGGTTCAAACTTACTTTGATTGGATGGCTGCGACGAGTACGGGAACATATGTTGCTGGAGCTCTAGCAAAAGGTGGGTAAAGTGTAGAAATTGCATTTTGGGTATTGGACTCATTAAAGCATCTTGTTTCTTAAGGCCTCTCACTACCTCACATGCAACGATACTATCTGCGAACAAAAGACATCCTCTTCACCACATGGACACGCCCGTACAATACTCTTCGTTTTGAGCAATTGTGCAAAGAAGCGCTTGGTGACGATCGAATGTTGGACATTTCCTATCCAAAGTAAGTTTGGTATTGTGATTCCTGTAGCTGCTCAAATATTATCCCGCTTTGCATACTTTTTATTTTAGATTGATTTTCACGACGACACGAGCTGATACATTCCCCTGCCAACTCACTTTACAAAGAAACTACCAATTACCAATGACGATGAAGGAGAATTTAGACTTGGGATTCGATGACCCGGCTGGTAAATGTATTCGTCTAGAAAATAATTTTATTCTTATTTAGAAATTCCACTTTGGTTAGCTGCTCGAAGATCGGCAGCCGCCCCAACTTATTTCGCGGCTTCTGAGGGAAAATTCATTGATGGTGGAATGGTAGCTAACAATCCGAGCCTCGATTTGCTGTCAGAAGTGATGTTTTGGAATACGAGTTGTCAAATGAAAGTGAGTTTTTTGGTGTTGATTTAGAAAGTTTCTCTTTTTTAGTCAGAGTCATCTAAAACGGAAAAAGAGAAACGAGATGATCCAAAAGATGTAACAATTGGCTGTTTGTTGTCACTTGGAACGGGTACTATTTCTAATAAGGGTTATTAGAAAAATATTGCAAGTTTTTAGGAATAACACCGGTATCTCCTGTCGACCCGTCCCTTTTTGAGATGAGTGATACGTTGGGAATGTTACGAGGCATCAAGAATTTGACGCTAATGGTTTTGGATCAGGTATTGTTTAATCGTGAGTCTTCCATTGTTTGTTTTTGATTTGTGAAACAACTAATTGAACAGATTAAACCTTGTAAATAAATTTTTAAAACTTTAAACACCGTTTTTATAGGCCACCGCCACTGAGGGAGCCCCGATTTCTCGGTGTAGATCGTGGTGTCATTCACTCCGAATCCCATACTTTCGACTCAATGCACCACTATTCAAGTAAGATCACTTGATTATTATTATGTCATTCTTGATCAATTGCTAACTTTAGAGATGTTATGTTGGATGCTTCTGACGATGTCGAGATTGCACAAGTTTTGTGGGACTGCGAAGTTTATGGATACACGCATCGGTCGGTTTTTGCCTGTTTGGATATCTTTGGTAATGTAACGGTATAATAGTTAAATCGTTTTCATGAAATTTTTATATCTAACTTTTTTAGGAAAGATTTTGTCGAGTTGGCCGAACTGTTGAAGGCGATTGGAACGAATAAACACCGAAAGACGAGACTTGGAACGGGCCTTTCAACCGATTATGACGAGATACGATTGTCTAGGAAAGCATCAAAAGAATCGGTTAAAGAATGAGCTTTACTTTGTTTTTTTTAATATATGATATATGATTTACTGCTCTAGGAGAATTTTGAACGTTACTATTGAGGAGATAAAGTTATGTTTTAAAGGCTTTTTCAGGTTACAAGATACAAATTGAAGGTCATAGAGACATTTCCGATGAAATTTCACCATGTAATTTTGCCTGAATTTTGAATTTTTAAGTCTATCTCCAATTTTGTGGGCGTGGATTTTTGGTGGAAATCAAAAGCTGAAGTTACCTAATGGTTCTTAACAAAGTGTGCTCTGTTCATTTTGTAGAAAAATGCACCAAAAATGTTTCTCGAGAGTCTCACGAATATTAGGTCCACGGGTTTTTTTGTGCGATTTCGAGGAGATTTTTGTGTGAACCCATTTTTAGATTGAATTATCATCAAATTCTGATAAAATTACCTAATCGAGCCTGGGATATTCACAATTGGGAACCCATGTCCATAAGGGGGTTTGAAATTTTCCAAATAATCCTTTTTTTCTTTTGTTTCAAATAGATTGGCTTCTTGACCTAGTTTAGTGCCAAATAGAAATCACAGATAGCTGGCATTTTTTTTGATTTTTGTAGGTATTCTCGATAAACTTTTAAACGATAGAAAAATCGCGCTCATTTGAGTTTTGTTTTTTTTTGGGATTAGTGTGATTTAAATATATGAGTTCCGAAAATTTTTACCCAATTCCGCAAAATTTTCGAACAAATTTAGCAGAGAAATTCGCACAGACGATTAAATTGACACTTACGACTTGGGTTTTTTTTCCCCTCGATCGAATCACTTTTTTTTTTTTGCAAAAATAAAAATTTCTTCGTCTCTAGGGAGATTTTTCTCTCTTTTGCAAAAGCAAAATTTTGTTTTCTATTGAAATTGAGATTTTTCGGGAGTGGGACAAATGCGACCTTTTTTTCCGCACCTTGCCCATTAGCGCACCTTTAAAACCTTTAACACCTTTAAAAAAAGCTCTAAAAAGCTAATATTAACCAATTTCTATTCCAAATCGTGTTTTTCTAGGTAATTTGAGGGTGTCGAATTCAAATTTTGACATAACAGAGCGTGTGGAACCAATTTGAAAGACAAAACGGCTAGATCAAAGTACAGAAAATTGTCGATTTTTCTCTTTGTATAACTCCGTCCGTTTGTTTCCACAGGCTCTGATATGTCAAAATTTCGATTCTACGCCCTAAAATTACCTAGAAAAACAACTTTTGGAATAGAAATTGGTTAATATTAGCTTTTTAGAGCTTTTTTAAAACGCGAAAAAAGGTGCGCTAATGGGCAAGGTGCGGAAAAAAAGGTGCGCAAATGTCCGGGTGCGCAAAAAAGGTCGCATTTGTCCCACTCCCGTTCACTTAAATATGGAATGGAAATTGAGAGAATTAGGAGAAATATTTCAGCTACACCATTAAGCACCATCATTTTTTAGCTGCAAGAACCAAATGGCGACGTGTTCGTGTTCCGCACCCAGCCCATTAGCGAACCTTTTTTCGTCTTTCGTGTTTAATCAAAAAAGCAAAAAACATTGCTCCCGGTGAGGCTCGAACTCACGACCTTCAGATTATGAGACTGACGCGCTGCCTACTGCGCTACGGAAGCACGCCTTCTAGGGGGATCTGACAGGCTTTTTATCAGAGCCTGAGGCGAGTTTTACTTGAGATCAGTAAAACCGTTAAATACAGTGGAACCTCTCTATAACGTAACTCACGGGACGGCTATAGCTTACGTTATATAGAGTGCCGTTTTATATAGTTTAACGTCGGCCGGGACCGGTCACGCCTTACGTTATAGAGAGGTTTACGTTATATCGAGGTTCGTTATAGAGAGGTTCGACTGTACCTTCAATTTTTAGAAAAGAAAAGATATTCAATTGAATACATAAGTTAGTTACAATGAAGTGAAATCACTTTTTCGTTTATTAGCTCATTATTTCTTTACAAATAGTGGGGGGTGGGACAAATGCGACCTTTTTTTGCGCACCTTTTTTTCCGCATCCAGCCCATTAGCGAACCTTTTTTCGTCTTTTAAAAAAGCTCTAGCTAACATTAACCAATTTCTTTTCCAAAAGCTGTTTTTCTGGGTAATTTTAGGGTGTAGAATCCAAATTTTGAAATATCAATTTGAAAGTTAAAACGCATAGGTTAAATTACAGAAAAATTGTCGATTTTCCTCTATGTATAACCCTGTGTTTTTGCTTCCACAAGCTCTGATATGTCAAAATTTCGATTCTACGCCCTAAAATTACCTAGAAAAAGAACTTTTGGAATAGAAATTGGCTAATATTAGCTTTTAGAGCTTTTTTAAAGGTGCGCTAATGGGCAAGGTGCGGAAAAAAAGGTGCGCAAATGTCCGGGTGCGCAAAAAAAGGTCGCATTTGTCCCACTCCCGATTTTTCTGCTTTGGTAGAAATCTTTGACACATTTAGCTTTTGAACAAACACAGTAAGCCGATTTTGGTAATGAATTTAATGAATCTTTTGCGGAAATTCTATTTTGAACCTTTTTTCGGCGATTTTCACCAAAATTTGATCGAAAACCAGAGAAAAACGAATGAACTAGACTTTTTACTCGCTTACACTTTGTACTCAAAGCTGGGAATGTGATTTAAACACTCAATTAACTCTTTCATAACAGTATTTATTCATTTGAGTGCACCAGATAGAATGTGTTTGCATTTTTGAGCGCAACACCTTTCTGAGCGTTTATTGGAGTTTATTACAGTCATTGACAAAAATGTATTCAAAATTTTCCTCTTCTTAGCTTTTCTCTTGAAATTTTGACGTAATAATATTGCCAATTATTAGAGATATTCTTTACAAATTCTTATTTAATAAAAAAAACAATTTCAGATTAGACGCTGCGTTTGAAGTTTTTTATAGAAAAACGAGTTTTTTACCTTTGCGATCCCAATATATCAAAAACTATTTACTCTACAGTTTTGATATGTCAAAAGTGTTTTGTAGAGCACGTCTAGATCTTCATTTTCACATATAACATATAATACTTGTGCGCAAAACTCTAAATTGAGCGAGTTAATGACTTGGGGTAGGCTAGTTTTCGCCATTTTATTTGCGCAACACGCTCATTTGCGCAACTTGCCATAACTTTCTTCTAAGTGGGCCAATCTTTATGATTTTGGTGTCATTTTGTTGCGCTTATTGAGATATACAAAGTGACACCAAAACGATAAAGATTGGCTGACTTAGAAGAAAGTTATGGCGAGTTGCGCAAATGACCCAGTTGCGCAAAGAATTTGGCGCAAATTGGCCTACCCTCAAAATTCAGGTTACCTTTTTGCTACCGTACCCCCGCAAATCTATTTTCTATTTGTTGCTCGCTCATTGTTCCTTATAAAAACAGGCGTAGGCTAGTTTTCGCCATTTTATTTGCGCAACACGCTCATTTGCGCAACTTGCCATAACTTTCTTCTAAGTCAGCCAATCTTTATGATTTTGGTGTCATTTAGTTGCGCTTATTGAGATATACAAAATGACACCAAAATCATAAAGATTGGCTGACTTAGAAGAAAGTTATGGCGAGTTGCGCAAACGATCCAGTTGCGCAAATGACCCAGTTGCGCAAAGAATTTGGCGCAAAGTAGCCTACCCCAATGACTAACCAATTTCAAATAGCAGACCACATGAAAATCGAGCCTTTTACATTGAAATGAGTCGTTTTTCTTTGTGTTCACTTTTTGAAAGTCCTTAGCTCGCTCAATTTTAAGTCGTACCCAAAAGTGTTAGATTCGAAAATGAAGATCTAGATGTGCTCTACAAAACACTTTTACATATCAAAAGTGTAGGCAAAACGCTTTTTGATTTTTTGGGCTCGTAAAGGTAAAGAACTCGTTTTTCTAGATAAAATGGGGGATTTCAAATCTCATCAAATTTCAAACCCAGCGTCTAATCTGAAATTTTCTCTCTTTTGATAGAAAATTTTGCTCGTTCTTAAAGGCTCAAATCATCCCAAAATTACAGGGTTTTGGTGCTTGAAATCGGCAAAATACAGAAGTCAGTCTAATTGTTGGCTGTGAACAACCAAAAGTGGAGGTATTTGAAGAAAATTTCCACTTTCCATACTCCATAAGGAACTAAAATCATTCATTTTCTTCATTTTCTTTCGAAAATTTTCCATTTTCAGTCAATTCGTCGTTTTTTACGTTATCCTGCTAATTTGTACAATTGTTCGGGAAAAACGAGAGACGAATGGCTGAGAACCGGCGAGAAATGGCCGATTGCCGGCCCTGTCTTCATGGGCATGGGGGCTGTGTTCTTGGTGAGTGAAGGAAAGATAAAAAGAAACACGAGTAGTAAGCTCTAAAGAAGCTATAGAACAGTTCTACTGTCGCACTGTTTCACCCACACCTGCTACTTGTTAGGAAGAGCAGTCGGCTATTGTCAAGTTCTAGCAATGATGTACATGTAAAGTTTGAACTGACAAGGGAAGTACCCTAGCCGATCGCCAGCCGAAATAGAAGTTGTAGAATTGACTATGCTGATCACAATGGTGCAAAAATCAACTGCCTATACGCCTGTAAACGCGAGATATCTGGCATAGAAGTTTGCGACATCGCACTTCAAAGCTGATGGCTTAAAGCTTAAAAGCTCGACTCTCTCGCGCGTCGCTGAAATGAGCTGTTGGCGCAGTGGATAAGAAGCTCGGATACAATGCCATTTTGCTTTTTGCTTGAGTCCGAGTCTTCACCTAGCAATTCTTGTTTGCTTTTTACTTTTAACGAAACTAAAAGTTTCGACTGATTGTGAATAAGGAAGTCCGTCGTAGAGTTGCTCCAAAGCTGTTGTATGCAAATTTTCTGCCAAGGCCAGCTCAGGTCAGCCTGCTGTTTCCGGAAAATTCCCGCGAGAAACTTGCTGACGAAGTATTCTCACGTATGTACAATACATAGTTTTCCCGCGGAATGTTCTCGAAATTTTCCACAGAGATCTTCCGGAAAGCTTTTCTGGCGGAATTCCCTGAATACTTTATAGGAGAA